CGGGTACACTGGGCCGTGTCCGCGGGGACATCTCCACTATCTCTATTTGTCACACCGACGTACAGGGCCGCACGCACACACTCGACTTTGTTGTGGGTCTGATTATTCCATTGCGCGCTGATTCGCCCACAGTGGGCCAGAAGACCGGTGGACGGGTTTTGAGCTCCAGAGCCGCTAAATGGACTCAAACCGAACGTGTGACCCCACCAATGGATTGCTCTCCGAACGAGGAATCCAATAGTGGGGTCACCACACGATTGGTTCGAGCCGTTTAGTGACTCTGGAGCTCAAAACGCGTCCAGAGCTTTGGCCGCTTGCACCAGTCTTCTGGCCCACTGTGCCGCGGTCGCGGCGATCGCAGTGTGCTTGCTTGTTGTATCGGCGGCTCGCTCGCGGCGGTCGCTGCTCACGGCGCGCGCTCTGCCCTCCGCCCGATCGCCGTAACAATCGCTAAAACGAAGGGCGAAATCGGAGAGCGGGGGAAAGGGAAAAGTGTGGTCGCGGCGCCCGTACTCTACCCGGTCCCGGCGGAGTGGCACTGTGCCTGTCCGCGGGGTGCGCCCAGGGGCCCTGGGGCCCAGGGGCCCGGGGCCGTGCCGCTGAGAGAGCCCGGCCGGGCGCCCTCTGGAGTAATCCCTTATTTCCCCCGGGGCCTCCGTCGAGACCCGCGCCGCCTCCACTGTGTGGGGCTGAAAAATGTGTCGCGGGGTGCGAGGCGCGTCCTCCTCGGGAGATGTCGTCTATTCTATCACGGAAGCCATTTCAGAGGTCACGCGCTTTAGGCGCCGCCAAAGTCGGCCTCGGCGTCGTCGGCGGCCTCGTCGGCGGCCTCGGCGTCGCAAGGACGCCCCGAAGGGAGGCCCGCCCTCGGCCCGCCGCTTTGTCCGCGCGGTAATAGGGCAGAGAGGGTCTTCTCCGCGGCCTTCTCCGCGTCGACGCGGCGTCGATGGCGCGGACGCGGCCGCTGGCACGCCGCCAAGCACCGAGGCATCGGCCGCCGCGATGACAAATTCGACCCGAAATAGAAATAGCCGGCGACAACCCGGGCGCGCCGCGTGCCGCGTTTGGACGTGTTTTCGGAAAGTGCGAAATCACGGGGCTGCCGCTGTGTTGCGCCTCGCGGGCCGGGCCGGGCCGGCCGGGCGAGGGAGGCTAGAGTCCCAGAGGCCTGGCGCCGGGGGGAAGTCCGTCGCAGAGACACTGCTGGCGCCATCTAGCGGGGCGCGCGCCGAACCCGCTGGAGGCGCCCGACTGCCGCTCCCCGGGTACGGCCTCTGGAGGCTCGGGAGACTCTGGAGCGGAACTGCGGCAGACGCGGGGCTTTGGTTCGTGTCGCCCTGCTCCTGCTTGCACCCCGCTGCGTCACTCGGCGACTGGCAAACATCTCTGACGCAAACCGCCAACGCCGAAGAATGTGCAGTGCCTCGTCGGCCAAGCCGCGCCTCTTCACGTGCGAGGGCCGACAGTGGGCCAGAAAACCGATGGAGGTGGTCAAAATGTCGAACGTGTTTTGAGCTCCAGAGTCGCTCAGCGGGACTCGAACTGAACGTGTGACCCCACCTATGGATTCCTCCTTAGGAGAGCAATCCATTGGTGGGGTCACACGATCGTTTCGAGTCCTGTTTAGCGGCTCTGGAGCTCAAAAGGCATCTAAAGTTTTGGCCGCCTTCACCGGTCTTCTGACCCACTGTGCGTCGCACTCGGAACCGCGTTGCACTCGCCGGGATTTGAACCCGGGTCCCGGCGACAGCAGGCCGCGCCGCAGCCGCCTGAGCCACCGAGGCCAAGGCCGGAAGGGGCTCTCATTAGCGCTTGTTGTCGCCCCGGCCGGCACTGACCCCGGGGACGCTCGCCTTAACGACCGGTAGGGCAGTGACTCGGGGCGGGGCGGGGCGGGGCGGAGTCGCCAACCCCTGGCAAAGTCACCTGACTCAGCCGAAGGCACACTAATTGACGGCGGCGTGGCGCGCGCGGGCAGAAGCCGAAGCGGTGTTGATATTCGAAGACATCTTTTTATAGCGCCGCCGCTGCAGACTCGGTGAAGCAGGCCGACGGCCGGGCCATGGGCCGGGCCGCGGGGACAATACGCCACGCTGCCACGCTTTTCCGTGACGTTGACGCTCTTCTGGCTCTGGTCCTCGTTCAAGGGGAACGCGGCCACGCGCGGGACGACGCACGCGACGAGACGCGGAGAGCAATACTTGCTTTTATTTTTGATTCCCCTCCGCTCGCCACCGTGCGGAACCTTGAGGAACCTTGGGGCACCTCTCTCTCGGCCCGAGGGGTGCGTTAGCAGCGTCAGCCTCCCCCGATCGAAAATACCGCGCCGTCCAGCCAGTTTTGCATCATTGCCGATATTTATTGCTCGGGTGCGTCCCGTACTGATGGCGTGCTGCCCGCCACGCCCCGCCTCGCCCCGCCACGCCCCGCCACGCCCCGCCACGCCCCGCCACGCCCCGCCACGCCCCGCCACGCCCCGCCTCGCCCCGCCACGCCCCGCCACGCCCCGCCACGCCCCGCCACGCCCACGCCCAGGGCGCGGTTGTCGCTGCCGTCGCCGCTGTGTATAACATTGACATTAATATGACTGATCATCCAAACCTGTCACGCACGCTTAATTCTGTGAATTGTCGGGTTTGAAAAAAAAAAGCAAAACTGCATTTTGACCGTCGAAAGAATCGAGAGCAAGGCTCCTGGATCGTCAGTGAGGGCAGAAGCTGAGATGAAAACAGTCACTTTTTAAAAAAGCGACCGCTGTACTGGGTAATGTGCTGCATGTTCTGCCGTGCGCCTCGTTTCTTCTCCTTCCCCCTCGCCCACCGTCTCTCTCTCTCTCTCTCTCTCTCTCTCTCTCTCTCTCTCTCTCTCTCTCTCTCTCTCTCTCTCTCTCTCTCTGTCTCTCTCTCTGTCTCTCTCTGTCTCTCTCTGTCTCTCTCTGTCTCTCTCTCTCTCTCTCTCTCTCTCTCTCTCTCTCTTCTCTCTCTCGTGTTGGCTCGCCGCCCCGCTGTTGTGAGAAGGATGGAGGGGGGTACAGCCAGGAATATTCCTGTATCTCTGATCACCCTACGGGAAGCGAGTTTTTTTTTGGGGGGGGCGTGGGCAGCGTGCTGGCTGCGGGCCGCCGCGGGCGGTGTGGGGGCAGCAAAGCGCAGCAAAGAGGCGAAACGGTGAAAGTATTGGCGATGACGCGCCTGTGAGAGACAGAGACGGAGACGGGTGAAAATAGGCGGCGAAAACATTCGACCACTTCGGCGCCACTATTCGAGAACATGGAGGGGGAGGGGAGGGCTCGCAGTGTGTGAGCCGTACCTTCTTGACTGAAAAGGTTGCCAGCACTGACATTTGAATGCCGGTGGCTGAGTGGTCTAAAGCACTACACTGAGATCGCTCGGACGCTGGTTCAAATACTCGAGAACGTAACTCTTTTTTTTTTTTTGCTATTCCCCGTCGGGTATCCCTCCGCGCAGAGCTCCGCGCCGCCCGGCCTGAGCCCCTGAGCCCCGAGGCCGGCGCAACGGCCCTTTAATACCCAATCATGGGACGGGTAGCAGCGCGGGGCCCCGCCGCGGAGCGCGGAGCGTCATGGAGCCCCCAAGGGGCTTCGGCGAGGACCCCGACGGAGCACCCCCCGGTGGCACGCGGGGTTGCCATCGGCCGGCGTCGGCCGGCGGAGTGGAGGGATCAGGACGGCGATGAGGGCCGTGAGTGCCGCTGGGGGGAGAAAGGGGGGGGGGGCTTCCTTCCGCATTGTTCGAGACAGCCTGGTGGCGCCCCTGGCCGCGCTGGCAGCCCTGCCGGCCAGGCCATGCTGGCAGCACCCCGCCATCACCGCAACGCGCGCAGCGCTCGAGCAATGGCTGCGTAAATGGCCGCCACCCACGCCGCCGCGAAATATTACGTGCAATAAAAAAAAAGGCGACGGCAGGGCATTGCGGGCGGCGGCGGTCGAGTTAAGAAACGAGGCTCCGCTAACTTACTGGCGCTGACAAGTGCGGCGTGGGTCTTTAATTCACAGCTCAAGAGGGTGTTTCGCACCAAGCATTGCTGCAGTCGCTTGAACCACTCGAACGACAGCGCCAGTCCACAGTGTAGGGTGTCGGCGGAGAGCGGCTCAGTCTGTGCGCACTCTTCTATTCGCCCGCTACAGTGTGGTTTCCCTCTTTCTTCCCTCTGTAAAGCCAGGCCCTGCACTTTCCATAAGCCAATTTAAATAAAAGTAAGAGGCACCGGCGCGTGGGAGGGAAGGCACCTCCGGCCAGAAGCCAGCTGCAGAGAGAAAGGGGGGGGGGGGGGGGGCAGAAGGAAGTTCTCATCGGAACGTATGAAAATGCAAAGCGGGCCGCCGGGGCCAGCGGGCTGCACGCGCTGCAGGCTGAGAGTCGTGTTCGTCTCTCTGTCTCTACACTGCAAAAAAATCCGTAGTTTGCCACGGAAAATGGGGTACAGACGGGTACGGAAAAGGTACGGACCTTCTGTACTGGTTCTCTGTGTTCCCCTAAGGATCTCATGAAAACGGGCACAGAAAACATGTACAGAACCTCCGTGGTTGGCAAGGTACGGACGGTCCATAGGTAAAAAAATTGACCAGACATGTTCCGTGTAATTTCTGTCCTTTTTTCTCTCAGTGTAGCGCACCCATGCGGGACGTCCCTTGAGAGCGAGAGGGACAGAGCGGTGAGGCTGCTGCACGCGCTGCCGGCCGGTGGGCGGGGGCGGCGGGCGCGGAGTGGGCCGCGGTGCCGCGGTTGTCGTGACAGGTAACGCCAAGTACTCCTCCGCCCGGCCGCCTCCGCCATTTCTTTTTTAATTTTACCCGCAGCTGGCCGGGGCCGCTAGGGCAGACCTGGCGGTGCGCGCCGCGGCGCTGCAGCAGCCCTCGCGCCGAGCCGCCCTGGCCGCCGCCGCCACACTGCCTCCGCGGCCCGCGCCCCGACGTGGACGCTGCAGTCATCCTCGGCGAGACGACGACCGCGGCGGACAGAGCGACCACCGCGCGCCACCGCCAGGCACCGCCATAGGCACCGCCGGCCAGGCACGACGTGCTGTGCGTGCGTCGACGCCGCGTCGACGCCGACCCCCGGGGGAGGCATTACCGTTTAGCGCGGCAGTAACGAATAGAGTGCGCGGCCAGAGTGCCGCACCGAGGCCTTGCCGCCGAGGCCTTGCCGCCGAGGCCTTGCCGCCGAGGCCTTGCCGCCCTCCAGGCCGCCCAGGCCCCCAGGCCGAGCCAGGGCGCGGCGCGCCGCCACCCTGGGCGGCCCCGACATGGATTACCGGCCCTCCGACCACATCCTGTAAGTTGTCGCGGCCTGGGCGGGGCGGGGCGGGGCGGGGCGGGGCGGGGCGGGGCGGGGCGGGGCGGGGCGGGGCGGGGCGGGGCGGGGCGGGGCGGGGCGGGGCGGGGCGGGGCGGGGCGGGCGGCTCAGCGCCAGGGGGCTTAGGCGATAAAAAGGGTTGACGGCCCGGATGAAAGTGTAGTTAGACGGACGGGGGCTCGGCCGGGCTTGCCAGGCTCGGCCAGGCTTGGCCGGGGAATTAGCGCTCTTTCCCGGCCGGCGATTTAGGGGAACGAAGCTGTCAGTGATATTCGGCGCCAGCAGAGGACTGATTCCGTCGCTCTGTCTCTCTCGCACTTGCACGGGAAGCCCCACGAGTGCGAGAGAGACAGAGCGACGAATCGGCCTGCAGCGCCGGCAGCCGTGCAGAGGAGGCCTCCTTTTTTTCCCCCGAGTACCGCGTACTCCTCCCGCGGCAGCCTCGGCGGCACACAGTGGGCCAGAAGACCGGTGGAGGCGGTCGAAATCTCACACGCGTTTTCAGCTCCTGAGTCGCTAAATGGGACTAGAATCAAACGTGTGACCCCACCAATGGATTGCTCTCCGAACGAGGAGTCCATCGATGGGGTCACACGTTCGGTTCGAGTCTTTTTCGAGTGAAGCACACTGGAAGCACTCTGCAAGTAAGATGGAAGCACTGTAATTAAAAAAATGCGTTCAACAACAGTATTCGTTTCATTGTGAACTTGGTCACGTTCGTTTGAGAACGATGTCACATTCTTTTAAATGTTGATCCACGTCCAAACGAATGTGACGTCCAAACGGCCGAACGAGTATGACGTCACTATCTTTGAACAACTGTGTGGAAAGCCTGGCTTGATGAGACTGGAAGTGACTGCCGCTTTCACCACGGCAAAGCTCTGCTGGAACGGCCCCGGGCGGGCAGTGGGCTGACGGACAGACAGACAGACAGACAGACCGAGAGACAGGCAGACGAGCGGGTCAGCGGAAGTGGGTAGGCTAGGGTGGGCGGGGCAGACGCAAATACACTGCAGGAACAAAAGCCAAACGAATGGGACCGGCATGGCAGGGGCGGCAGGGGCGCGGGAAGGGGGTGGGGCGGGGAGTGAGAGGTCCAAGAGGTTCGAGCGGCCGGTGTTTTGAGGCCGCTGGACCGGCCGACCGGCTAGGACTGGCTCTCTCGGGGACGAGGCTGGACGGGGCACTTTCCTCTCGGCCCTGCAGGTACACTGCGGTGCACACTGGGTCCTTCACTGCAAAACCCCCTGCGCTCTCGGACCGCATAATCATGTAAACGGGGCGCGAGTTGTAATACAAGCGTCATGTGGCCAAAAACAACAATGCGAACACATTTAAATTTAAAACCGTGTTCCACGTGCCGCGCCGGCCCCGGAAGATAGCCCTGCGTCCCCGACCACACACGCGCGGGCCGGGCCTGCCCGCCGGCGTTGGAGTCCGTAGCGCCTGCCGTCCAGAGGGTGGGCAGTCCCGCCGTGCACGCGCGTGGGCCGGCGGCCTGCCCGCCAGGCGTTCTGGAGTCCGTAGCGCCTGCCGTCCAGAGGGTGGGCAGTCCCGCCGTGCACGCGCGTGGGCCGGCGGCCTGCCCGCCAGGCGTTCTGGAGTCCGTAGCGCCTGCCGTCCAGAGGGTGGGCAGTCCCGCCGTGCACGCGCGTGGGCCGGCGGCCTGCCCGCCAGGCGTTCTGGAGTCCGTAGCGCCTGCCGTCCAGAGGGTGGGCAGTCCCGCCGTGCACGCGCGTGGGCCGGCGGCCTGCCCGCCAGGCGTTCTGGAGTCCGTAGCGCCTGCCGTCCAGAGGGTGGGCAGTCCCGCCGTGCACGCGCGTGGGCCGGCGGCCTGCCCGCCAGGCGTTCTGGAGTCCGTAGCGCCTGCCGTCCAGAGGGTGGGCAGTCCCGCCGTGCACGCGCGTGGGCCGGCGGCCTGCCCGCCAGGCGTTCTGGAGTCCGTAGCGCCTGCCGTCCAGAGGGTGGGCAGTCCCGCCGTGCACGCGCGTGGGCCGGCGGCCTGCCCGCCAGGCGTTCTGGAGTCCGTAGCGCCTGCCGTCCAGAGGGTGGGCAGTCCCGCCGTGCACGCGCGTGGGCCGGCGGCCTGCCCGCCAGGCGTTCTGGAGTCCGTAGCGCCTGCCGTCCAGAGGGTGGGCAGTCCCGCCGTGCACGCGCGTGGGCCGGCGGCCTGCCCGCCAGGCGTTCTGGAGTCCGTAGCGCCTGCCGTCCAGAGGGTGGGCAGTCCCGCCGTGCACGCGCGTGGGCCGGCGGCCTGCCCGCCAGGCGTTCTGGAGTCCGTAGCGCCTGCCGTCCAGAGGGTGGGCAGTCCCGCCGTGCACGCGCGTGGGCCGGCGGCCTGCCCGCCAGGCGCTCCCTGGAGCTCGGTGCTCGCCCATTGTTTGCTCTGCTGCTTCTACCTTCACATTTTCTCTTTCCTGTTCCGCAGGCGGGATACCTCTGGCTAGGGGCGCAGGGTTCCCTCAGGGGCCTCGGGACACTCGAGGCGGGGGGCTCCCCCCTCCCAACAGTACATTTCCCATCGTCATCTAGGAAAACAAAGGTAAGAGCTTGGCGACTTTTCGTCTTTTTGTTGTCTCTCATGTTCGACTTTCCGGCTGGACGGCGCGTGTTTGGCCAGAGAGAATGGGGCCGTTGCGACGCCGCGCTGCCGGGCTGGTGTTGGGAGGGGGAAAGGGGAGTGAAATATCGGTGTCACTGCCCCGCGGATGTTCGCCCTACACTGTAACAAGCGTCGCTGAGCGGCTGCCAAGCGAGGCGGAGACACCATTTGTTGGCGTATTGTTAAGTTTAGCCGACATCCGGCGTGCCCGCAGCGTGTCCGCAGTGTAGGCCCATGCACGGGGCTCCACTTGGTTCCACTGCCACCCGTCCCGCTCGTTGCTGACAATGACACCGCACTTCTCTCCTGCTTTCTCCTCGCGATGCCCCGATACCCTTGAAAGCCAAGAATAGACGGAGAGGGACGGAGACCGAGGCTGCTACCGGCGCGCCTCGAGCCGGAGAGAGCGAGAGAGACAGGCGGGATCTGAAATAGAGACGTTCGATTGTTTACTCGAATTCGGCGGGGCTGCGAAGTACAGTGCGAAGCAGTGCGAAGCACCGCGGAGGATTCCCCTCCACTACTTGGGACTGGAAGCAGACGCGCTTGGATTCGCCACCCGGCTGCCATAGTATCCAACCATTGTAAAAAATTCAACGGAACTAAGGGTTTTGAGCACGCTGCATGCCTCTTTGAGGGGCGCACAGTGGGTTAGAAGACCGGCGCCGGCCGCTGCGTTTTGAGCTCCAGAGTCGCTAAACAGGACTCGAACCGAACGTGTGACCCCACCCAATGGATTCCTCGTTCGGAGAGCAATCCATTGGTGGGGTCACACGCTCGGTTTGAGTCCCGTCCAGCGACTCTGGAGCTCAAAATCCGTCCGGGATTTCGACCGCCTCCACCGCGTTCTTCTGGCAAGTCCACTGTGCGATGGCCTTTCTCGCCGGTGCTGCGAGTGAAAGGCAAAGGCAGCGAAGGTGTCGGTGGCCGGGCGAATAAGTCAGTGAGCCGGGCGACGCGGCGACGCGATCCGAGCGCCCCCCGCGGCCGCGCGGCGAACCAGCTCGGGGCGGCGAGCGCGCCCGCGGGCCTGCGGGCCTCCACCGCGACCGGACTGCCCCGCACTCCCCGCAGCCAGTGCACGCCACGCCAGTGCACGCTGGCGCTCGCGTGCTGCCGATGACGCCGCCAGAGCCGCCAGGCGCTGCAGACAATTCCCATGCAACGCGAGAAACCGCGTTTCAAGTCCTTAGTTTAATCTAGTCCCTTGTGCTGTGATATACTCGTCCTGTGTTAGTGTATGTGTTTTGATCGCGACCGCCATGGTTCGCTCGGCAGTGCTGTGTGTTCGTTCGACGGCGGCTGCCCGTTTTGGATACCGCATAGCGTGTTAGCGGAAAGTCTGTGACAAAGGTTGACGATATTAGTGAGTACGCGTTCGATGATTGCGTGTGTTCGCCGTGTCTGTTGTTTGTCTGGTTTTGAAATAAAGTGGCTTTGTGAGCAACTAACTGTGTCGACTACTCTCGCTAACTCTCTATAACACTCCGCTGAGGCACCGAGGCCACATGACCGCCCTAACCTAACCTTTCCTCGGGTGACATTCAGCCCCAATGATAGGGTCACGTGGCAACCCGGCTGACCAGGCCAGCTAACCTAACCTCAAAACTAACCCACCCTTCGCGTCGCTTCTGCTCCGCCCACAGGCCGGTGGGTCGCGGGTTCGACTCCGAGCGGCGCGGCGGTTTTTGCGCATGCCGGCGTGCTTGCCGTGTGCTTGCCGTGTGCACCCTCCGCCGCTCCTCGGCGTCGTCGCGGACGCGTCGGGCAGCCGGCCGCGGTCACACAGCTAGCGGCTCCTGGCCGCGTCTATTTCTGCCTGTTTATATTGGTGAGAGTGCCCGGCCGGCCGGCCCGGCCCACGGCTGCCTACAGTAGCAACACGCCGGGGCCGGCCGTAAGCGCTCCAGGCCGACGGGCACGTGCACGCCGACGCCGCGAGGCCGACACCGCCGGGCCGCCAGGCCGGGGGTCAAAAGAAGAGCATGGATTGATGATCTGGTGCGATTGGGGACGCGGCGCGCGGCGCCGAGGAGGCCGCCAAGAAGGTCGCCGCCAGGGAAGTGGCGTCTCCATTGAGGAGCCAAGTAGGCGAGCCACGCGAACGCGCACGAGAAACAACCATAAAACCGAAATAGCCGCATCGGTCCCGCTCTCTCCACCGCGGACGGCCGCGGCATTTGCCGCCAAAACGGCGACCCCGTCGACTGATTCCGAGAGTCTGTCTCTCTCGCACCTATACGGGACGCCCCATGAGTGCGAGACAGACAGAGCTCAGTCTGCCGGGGACCACGACGACGAACATGACGAGCTGCAACGCCCCGCAGTCGCGGGGATGTTCACGGCGGGCTGGGCGACGGCGACGACGCAGACTCCCGTTTGTTTATTGTTCGTCATGCCCGTGTCCGTCGAGGCCGTGGCGGTGGCAGTGGCGGTGGCAGTGGCGTGCCCTGTCGGCGGCGGGCGTCTGCCGGGCCTGCGCCTCCACAGGTTGGCAAACAGCGCATCAGGCTGACCGCTCCGTCTCTCGCGCACTCATGGAGCGTGCCGCAGGGTGCGAGAGAGACAGAGTGAGGAGGGCGGACAAAGAGGGCCGCCACTTGACCGCGGAGCGGCGCCGCGGCGAGCCTGACCTGCACAAGCGGCTCGAGCAGTAGACTCATTCCGAGAGTCATCGCTCTGTCTCTCTCGCGCTCACGGGGCGTCCCGTATGGGTGCGAGAGAGACAGAGCGACGAAAACGACTCTCGGAATGAGCCTGCCAATTGGACGCCTTATCGCCGCGTGGCCGATGAGCTGTCGGCGCCTCGATGCGAGAGGTGCGGGCGGACAGAATCCGCCCACAGTGGGCCAGAAGACCGGTGGAGGCGGCCAAAACTCTAGACGCGTTTCGAGCACCAGAGTCGCTAAATTGGGCTCGAACTGAACGTGTGACACCAATGGATTCCTCGTTCGGAGAGCAATCCATCGGTGGGGTCACACGCTCAGTTTTAGTCCTGTTTAGCGACTCTGGAGCTCAAAACACGTCTCGAGTTTTGGCCGCCCCCACCGGTCTTCTGGCCCACTGTGGGCGGATTCTGTCCGATCAGTCTCTCTGTCCCTCTCGCACTCACGAGGCGGGGCGTGGGCCGCGCCAAAGGGTATATGGGAGAGGCGAAAAAAGCGCTTGCTTCGCATTAGCCACCAATGCGAAAGGTGCGGCCGGCTCGCCGTGACGCCTGTCAGTCGGCGGCCCTTGGGGTGACGCCGCAGGTCCCCGTCCTGTCTGCGCCGGCGGCGGGGCGGGGCGGGGCGGGGCGGGGCGGGGCGGGGCGGGGCAGCGACTTTCCCCCAACGCGGCCAAGGCCCTGGCCGAGGTGGCAGCCAGCGGCAGCCAGCGGCAGCCTCAGGGAGGATATGTGTGTCACGACGCGACAGTGCGCGAGAAACAGAGGCTGACGTCGTCGCGGACGTCGTGGTGGTGGACGTCGCTGGGAAAATCCCCCCTTCAGGACGGCCGCGCCGCCACGCCGCCACGCCCACGCGCTGCTCCGCGTCCTCGGGGAGGAAGCCGGGGGCGGGGCCTCGAAAACGCCAAATGAAAAACGAGGGGAGGACTTTCACTGTGTAACGCGCGCGCGCCGCGCGGGTTCGGCGAGGCGAACTGGTGTTCTCAGTATTTCCTCCCTCGTGGCGGTTGCTGTGGGCCGGTTTATGTGCCGGGAAGCTGCCTCTGCAGTCGATTGCTGCAAAAAAAGAAACAACAAAAAGAAAACGAAAGCAGACGCGAAGCAATCCCAGCGACCTGCGTACAGTGTACAGTACGTGCGGCATCGCCGGCAGTGCGGTGGGTCGGGCTGTAAATAGGCCGGCCGACAAAGCGGCAACGCTCGTTTCCGAAAGAAAGCACCGGTCCGAGCGACTGTCACTGCGGAGCGGCAAACGGCACCCGTCCCCTTCTCGCTCTCGTCCTGACCTCGGGGTGGCTCTGTCTGCAGGCAAAATGGAGCAGTTCGAGCAATTGCTGACGTGCGCCATCTGCTTGGACCGGTACCGCAACCCCAAGCTGCTGCCATGCCAGCACTCCTTCTGCATGGAGCCCTGCATGGACGGCCTGGTGGACTACGTGCGGCGGCAGGTAAGCACACAGTGGAGTCGCCAGAAGACTGCCGCAGGCGGGCAAACCTCCAGACGCGTTTTGAGCTCCAGAGTCGCTAAGTAGGACTCGAACCGAACGTGGGCCCCACCCAATGGAACCCTCGTTCGGAGAGCAATCCATTGGTGGTGTCACTCGCTCGTTTTGAGTCCGATTTAGCGACTCTGAAGCTCAAAACCCACCCGGAATTCAGACCGCGTCCACCGGTGTTCTGGCCGTGCAGTGGACGGAGGAATGTGGAAGACTGATCACTGTAAAAATTTTGTTTGTCAAGTGATGACAGTGTCAGCCACCCGGGGCACAACACGATGTCACGCCCATAAGGGTGGAAGCTCTGATGAAAATTTCATTAATTTTTTGGTGAAATAATTGTCATTGTTTTCGGGTTATGAAAATGTCATTCACGAATTTGTCATAAAGCGACGACAAGTTTTCACGGTGGTGCATAACATGTGTTTTGTGCTGAGCAGCTTGTCAACCTATGGGAAAATCCAGTTGAAAAATTAATTCGGCGCTGTTTGGGTATTTGAACCCTGGTCTTTGGAGTTACGGGTTGACGCCTTTGCGCGCTGAGCCACGATTTCCCTTCCCTTCCCCCGGCAGGTGAAATGCCCCGAGTGCCGCGCGGAGCACCGCATCCCGTACCAGGGCGTGCAGGGCTACCCCACCAACGTGACGCTGCAGCGCTTCCTGGAGCTGCACATCGAGATCACGGGCGAGCTGCCCGACCCCACCGCCGGCCAGATCATGGAGCGGTGCGGGGTGTGCTCCGAGAAGGCCTACTGCGGCATGTGCGGCCACTGCGACAAGAAGATCTGCCAGGACTGCAAGGGCGCGCACATGGACATCCTGCGCCGCGAAATCGCCAGGATAAATAACCAGGTGAGTTGGCAACCCTAGCCGCACCATTTGGCCTGCGGTGGATCCCCCGGCGCGAGGGTCACCGAGATGCAGAGTGTAGGGTGGCCGCCCGTCGTAAAGGAGATCGCCGTCCCGCAGCGGCAAGACGCGGCGGCGTGGCGCAGCATGGCGCGGAGGGAACGGTTTGTCGTAAACCTCGCCGCGCCGCGCCGCGCCACGCCACGCGGCTACACAATTGAAACCCAGGGTGAAAATTGCGAACCGCGAGCGGAGCGAGTTAGGGTCCATGAAGTGGCGACGCTCCGCCGCCGTCCTCTTCTCTCGCGGACTAAAAACATTATTGCTCACCCTGCCTTCGCCTCTGTGTGTCCAGGTCCGGCGCGCGCTGCACCGCCTGCAGGACATGCTGGCCATGGTGGACAAGAACCTGATCCTGCTGCAGCAGAACTGCGGCTCGGTGGCCGAGGAGGTCGACGAGATCGACCGCCGCCTGGCCAAGGCCCTCAAGGACCGCACCGAGCACCTGCGCCAGGAGCTGGACCGCTACCTCAGCACCGAGGTCCGGAACCTGACGCAGCTCAAGGAGAACCTCGAAGTGGGTACCAGGTACCGGGAGGGCCCGGGTCAACGCGGAATGCTTTATCGCAGGGAAACTTTTTTTCATTTCGTTTCTGCAGCGGGGAGCTTTCGCCACCTCACAGTGGTGGGTGGACCAGAAGACCGCCGGAGGCGGCCAAAACTCTTGACGCGTTTTGAGCTTCAGAGTCGCTAAATGGAACTCGAACCGAACATGTGACCCGACCAATCAATTGCTCTCCGAACGAGGAATCCATTGGTGCGGTCACACGTTCGGTTCGAGTCCCATTTGGCGACTCTGGAGATCAAAACGCGTCCGGCATTTTGACCGCCACCGCCGGTCTTCTGGCCCACTGTGTGCCCCTCCCCGAACGCATAGCCGCCCCTCGTCACCAGCCCCGACCACGTGACCCATTTTGAAATTCGGTCGGATGGCGCGTGTTTACGCTCCCCTTCGCCCCCTCCCCCGCGGCCCAATCCGTCTTGATGGGCTTGCTCAACTGATTTCCGATACTTGGGATCCGATAGGGACGGCCCCGGGCAGCAGGCGGTTCGGGACGGGGCGGCCCTGGCGGCCCTGACCCAGGCCGCGCGCCGCGCCGCGCCACGAGTCCTGCGGGACCCGGCCCCTCGCCCCTGGGGCCCGGCCGGGCCCGGGGGCTGACGCGCGGTTTCGCCTAGGCGACACATAAACTGCTTTCGCTCAACTCCCTGTTACCCTTGCAGCTCGAGATCTCCAACATCACCTCCAACTGCGACCTGGCCGACAAGCACATGACCGAGTCGGTCGAGTGGGACGACAACGAGCTCATGGACGCCAAGGAGATCTTCCTCAAGACGGTGGAGTTCATCCGCAACTTCGAGACGGAGACGGGCGACTACCAGCGCCGCGTGCGCTTCACCATGGCGCACGACCCCAACCAGCTGGTGAACCATGTGGCGGGTGAGCACGGGGTGGTGACGGCAATAATGATGCTGATGATGATGCCGACCATGTGGACGCGTTCCAGAGTCGCTAAACAGGACTCGAACCGAACGTGTGACCCCACCAATGGATTGCTCTTCCAACGAGGAATCCATTGCTCGGGTCACACGTTCGGTTCGAGTCCTGTTTAGCGACTCTGGAGCTCAAACCGCGTCTTGAGTTTTGGCCGCCTCCGCCGGTCTTCGGAACCACTGGCACTGATGATGGTGGCGATGGTGGTTCTCACGGTTCGTCTTCTTCGTGTCCCTCGCGCAGGCTTCGGCGACCTCAACATCAACCACCCGCACACGACGGCGCCGGGGCTGACGGGCAGCGCGTCCATGGGGCTGCTGCAGACCCCCGGGCCCGGCCTGATGCGCTCCAAGTCCGACCACCGCCTGGCCACGCAGTTCCGGCAGCAGGAGGAGCGCGACGAGGACCCTCGCGGCGGCCGCCTGTCGCCGCTCGCCGGCAGGAAGTTCGGCGAGCGGCCCGCGCCCAAGCCCGCCGCCACCGACAGGTACACTCACCCGACAGACCAACTCACAGCCAGCCTGTCTACACTCTAAACATAGGGTGCCCAGAAACTGGGCGCCTTTGTCGCCCGCCACACTTTTTAGGGTGCCAAAATGTCGCCCAGTTTCTGGGCACCTTTGTCGCCTAGTCTCGGGGTGGACAAACCATTAAGGAACCTGCCTTCACCCACGGCTCAGCAGCGACTAAGGTGCCAAAGGTGCCCAGAATCTGGGCATCTTAGTCGCCCAGGAACTTGACACCTGCGCATGCTCTACCATGGGAGAGGGCCAGTTACTGCATGATTTGTCCATCCCGAGACTGGGCGACAAAGGTGCCCAGAAACTGGGCGACATTTGGCACCCTAAAAAGTGGGGCGGGCGACAAAGGCGCCCAGTTTCTGGGCACCCTATGTTTAGAGTGTAGACGCCCTCAGATGCACCCCTTTTGGTCCATGAAATTCCTGTTGAGTGCCTTTCGGGTTGGAGAATCTACAGGTCTGGGGTTATTTTACATTGAGAGCCATGGGCTTTCATTGGATTGTCACTACGGAGGTTTTAGACGGATTCGACAGAAATCTGTTACCTAGTGCGGCATGAGGCTTTGGTTTTGCTGTTTGATTGTGTAACGCTTCTCTGCGAATTGCTTTCAGACGCTGGTGGATGAGGAAGTAAGCGAAGCTGTTCACGGCTGAGGAGGGTGGGGAGAGGGACTGTCAATTTATTTAAGATGATCATTCAGATTGAGGGATTCTTAAATTTATCGTTGCCATAGAGTTCTTTTTAAACCCGTTCATTCTCTGAATTAAGTAAGTACTCAGTAGACAAGTACTTTTAGAGCAGATCCTTTTTCTGCAGTGACCTTCCGGGTGGTAGTCTTAGTCCGGTAGACTGTACTGTCGTAGTTTAGTGCACTGTACCAGGTGTAACTCGTACGGTAGTCTCGCTAACCCTGTCCCACTGTGGGCCAGAAGACCGGTGGAGGCGGCCAAAATTCTAGACGCGTTTTGAGCGCCAGAGCCGCTAAATGGGACTCGAACCGAGCGTGTGACCCCGGGTCACACGTTCGGTTCGAGTCCTGCTTAGCGACTCTGGAGCTCAAAACGCGTCTAGAGCTTCGGCCGCCTCCACCGGTCTTCTGGCCCACTGTGCACCGTGGCCGTCCGTGACCGCCCTGACCCTGGTCCTCGGCCCGCAGGTACGAGGGCCGCTACGGCCGCGGCGGCGAGAGCGGCTACGGCGGCGACTACGGCGACTACGACGCGGAGGGTGGCAGCCGGGCGGGCCAGGTGCGCTCCAAGTACCGGTCGCGGTTCCGCCGCGACGCCCAGGACGCCGCCGAGCCCGAGCCGGACACCGGCAGGAACGTGCGCTTCCAGGAGCAGCAGAACCGCGAGCGGGAGCGAGTCCTCGACACCGAGGACGTGTCCAAGGGTGAGTACGCGGTGGCCGAGCGGTTATCGCCGACGGCGCCGCGGTCACAAGTTCGAAACCCGCCCAAGGCCAAACCCCGCCAAGGCCTCATTAGCCTGGGGTGCCGATAACGCGGTCGGGCCACCGCACCCCACCGCACCCCACCGCACCCCACCGCACCCCACCGCACCCCACCGCACCCCACCGCACCCCACCGCACCCCACCGCACCCCACCGCACCCCACCGCACCCCACCGCACCCCACCGCACCCCACTCCGCTCGCCCCGCCGCGCCGCGGGCAGGATGGGATGTTTGCCCGGTTTGACTCGCACGGCTGCAAATAGCGTGGCCGTGACGTCATCCACGATCGCTCGCAAACATGTCGCGGCTGTATCCGCCCCGGCGCGGCCCGGCGAGCAATTGGAACCGAGATTCGAACCCGGCCAACTCGATGCTTGTCCCGCAGGTCCACTGTCGGGCATCACCCGCCTGTATGACGTGCCGCGCGTGATGAAGCGCCTGCAGGAGTCGGAGCTCAAGGAGAAGAACAAGGGCAAGGAGCCGCCCACGCCGCCGCAGCCCGCGCCGCAGCAGCAGCAGCCAAAGAAGACGGTGACTCAGCGACAGGTACAGCGCGAGGGGGAGGGAGGGGAGCAGGGGGGAGAGGAGACCAAGGACGCGGCGGTGATCGGTCAGGACGACGAGCAGAAGGACGTGCAGGAGGAGGACGAGGACACGCAGGAGGAGACGGAGGACGAGGAGGAGGCCGTGCAGCAGGAGGGCGAGCCCCGCGACGTGGCGGCGCCGGCCGCGGACCGCGAGGGGGGGCAGGGCGACGAGGATGACGAAGACGAGGAGGACGACGAGGAAGAGGAGGAGGAGACGGATTCAGACTGAAGCCGATCTTTATACTTGTATCCGATACTCGCCAAAGTGTGTTCGTTTAGGTGGAGCGAGTGCAGTGTAAACACTGGCGGCATTCCAGTGGAAAACTGGGCCGATCTCCCCGTTCCTCTCCCTGGCCGTGACGCTACACTGTGCGCGGGTACCACGAAGTTTCGGGATTACTAAAATTACCGCCTTTTTTTCAATAGATTTTTCTGTGTTTGGATTTCTTTTTCAACCAGTCGGTTTGTTTTGGTGGCTGTGTTTAGAGGCGCCGGCCAGGGACGTCCCAGGCCTCTAACCTCGTCCCTACCGCCCCCACGGCCGCCCCCGCGCCGTCCCCGCCGCCGTCCCCCTCCCTCCGCCCCCTCCTGCTCCAGGGACTCTGCGTCCTCCTCGCGGAGGCACTGCAAGTCCTTGCCGGAGACATCCGCTGACCTTGTACTCCCGCCTTCTCGCCAGTCCTTGGGTCTCGATTCGTTTCCGCCGTTCTTCTACTCTTTGGTGGTGTTGAGTCAAACTGTCGGTCCCCTGCCGCATCGCTGTTTGTTTAGTGTGCCGCTTTCCTCCCTGTGTTTATTAATCCGGAAACTGAAAGAACGGCAGAAAGCATTCTGCTTGTCATCAACTTTACGAGCCCTATGCAAAAACTATTGTTGACTCAGAGCCTATAGCCAGACAAAGGCAGACGAGGGATTCATATTTAACTATCTTTGAGTAGTCTTCTCTTACCTTGGGACCTTCGACATACCCCCAAACACAGTGAGATGCCATTTTAATCAATTTATTTTTGCTCAACGATAGGAAGAATTTTATTTTTTTAAACCGTTGAAAGATTTTAGTAATGTGTGTATTTGAGCTGTCATTTGAGCCAAGAGTCCTTTATTTTGTATGGCAGCAGCTCATGTACTTGTTTATTGTGATACCAAAACTCGGAATAAATTTATTTTTGGCATAAAACGGCTTGAGTAATTTTTTAAGTAACCCATCCTTACCCACCAAAAACGCGTCACTCATGTCATAAAAATAATCGCTAACAAAACATTGCAATGTGCTCACAACCGAGACCTCCGTTAGATAATGCAGCACTGTAAAATCTTAAAATTAAGTTTAAAAAAATCACCTTGTACTCTAACACAACCTACGACTCTCCATGCTTTGGTAACAATACTAACCACTAACTTCTCGTTGACTTCAATGAGCGCCCTTTTGACGGAGACCTTTGACAACGGATGGAACAAGCGATTTCGGCCGAGATGCGACTCGGGCGCCGAGAAAATGGCTTTGTGTTGAAACCTTGTGAAAAGGTAACGAGAGTATTCCTGCGAGCGGCGCGCACCGTCCAGCGCCAGGGACTCAAAGCAGGCCTGTCATCATGTCCGGCCGGACTCCCGGTCCACACCGCTGGAAAAAATAACCCGACATTTTGGTAATGATTTACCTTTGTTCCGGGCCAAGCAGTTGAAACGCTCTGTTTTGCGATTCCAGGTCAGCGAGGAAGACGAGATCGCCAAGATCAAGCGGCAGAACAAGAGCGGCGCCTCTTCCAGTGACGTGGCCGCGGCCGTGCCCGAGGCCCGCGAGCCCGCCGCGCCGGTCAGGCCCGCCCCGGACCGCGTCGCCTCGCTCAAGAAGGCCGAGGAGGAGCGGCGCCGCGGCAGCAGCCACGAGGTGAGTTCGTGTCGCGGTAGCCGCGCGCGTAAGCGCGCCACTTTTTCAGCCTGACGGTCCGGGTTCGATTCCCGGCCGGTGGTCGCCACTTTTTTTCTTCCCGTCGGCGCAACGCGGCCAAGCGACGACGGCGCGACGATTGGTGTTGAGTAGGGAGGCGTTCGCCGAGGCGTTAGAGAACGCCGCGCCGCGCCGACATCCGGACCGCTCTTTCCGGGTCATTCGGCCTGTGTGCCTGGCAAAGCCCGAAGCCGCCCGAAGCCCGAACCGCGGCGGGGAAGTACCCGAACGCGGCGCCGCGGCGGGTCGGTCGTTCGGCCTTTACTGCGTCCCCGTCACTCCGCCGCGCTCCGCCACGCTCCGCCGCGCTCCGCCACGCTCCGCCACGCTCCGCCACGCTCCACCACGCTCCGCCGCGCTCCGCCACGCTCCGCCGCGCTCCGCCACGCTCCGCCACGCTCCGCCGCGCACCGCCGCGCTCCGCCACGCTCCGCCACGCTCCGCCGCGCTCCGCCACGCTCCGCCGCGCTCCGCCACGCTCCGCCGCGCTCCGCCACGCTCCGCCACGCTCCGCCGCGCTCCGCCACGCTCCGCCACGCTCCGCCACGCTCCGCCGCGACCCAAGTGGCGCCTTCTCCTCCATCCCCGCGGGGCTGCCGACGCCGAGGCCGCGCCGCCAGCCCGCCGGCAGACTGATGCCGCGGGTCGCTCTGCCTCTCTCACACCCACACGCGGCGCCCCGTGAGTGCGGGAGAGACAGAGCGACGAAAACGACTCTCGGAATCAGTCTGCAGCCAGCGCGGCAGTCAAATTACGCGGGCATCAAGCGTTATTGCTTTGTGTTGGCAGGGCTCCAGCGACAACGACTCCGACGACGGCTCCAGCGTGTCCTCCATGCAGGTAGGCCAGGCCTCGCTGCTTGGTGGGCCAGAGGACCGGCACTGGCGGCCAAAGACGCGTTTTGAGCTCCAGAGCCATCAAAAGGACTCGAACCAAACGTGTTGGCAGGACCCCACCAATGGATTCCTCGTTCGGAGAGCCATCCATTGGCGGGGTGATACGTTCGGTTCGAATCCCATTTAGCGACTCTGGAGCTAAAAACGCGTCAAGAGTTTTGACCCACTGTGCGCTGCCGCGCTCCTTGCTTGTTCTGCCTCGCTTCTCTCTACTCTTCGCGGCCCGCTGTATCCAGCAGACTGATTGCGAGAATCGTTTTCGTCGCTCTGTCTCTCTCGCACTCATAGGGCGTCCCCTATAGGTGCGAGGGAGACAGAGCGACGAAAACGACTCTCGAAGTCAGTCTGCAGGCCGTCCTCCTTCCAGTGGACGTCGTCGTGCGCTTGCTTCCTCCAGTGGCGGATCCAGAGCCGGCCGGAGGGAGGGAAAAAGTGGCCCTTCTGGCCTACTTAAGGGGCCGGGGTGTTGCTTTTCACCTGGCCCACTGTGTGGCGGTTGGCGCGCCTGGCTTGCTTCGTGTTTCTCGCTGTACATTCGCCTGGACTACTCACCCGCTCACTCCACAGTCATGCTCGTTCATCTCACCGGCTGCGGTGTGGCCGGCGTGGCCCCGAGTGCCGCCCCCGGCCGTCCCGTCCCGTCCGCAGCGCGCGCAGCGCTCTCTGCGCGGGAGGGCGGTGTGGCGCGCAACCCGCAACGCGCGCCGGGGGGCTAACCGGCGTAAAACTTTGCTAGTTAAGGAATTCTTTTAGGGCCCGGTCGGGACATGCGGGCCTGCACAAAGGGGGTTGTTTTTACCTCGCGGCGGATCGGCTCGTAAAAAGGTGAAAACAAAAAACACCTGCCGCGCGCGGAAGGGCGCGGGAGAGGCCGCCATTGGTTGCCAGTCGTGTTCAAAGTTGAAGGTTCAAGGTAGGGGTTCCGGGTGGGTGCGTCTAAGGTCTGCCTGCGCAGGGACAGCGCAAGGGGTCGCTGAGGGCGCGGCTTGGGGGCGCGTCCCCGCCCCTCACCGTGCCGCCCCCCGCCAAGCCCCGCTCGGGGTCCACCGACTCGGCCTCCACGTCGTCCTCCGAGTCCTCCAGCCCCGCCAGCAGCACCGCACGCAACACGGGCGCGGCCTTCTCCACCGAAGAGGTGATCTGATCCGAGAGGAGCGTGGGTTCAAGTCCCAGCCCGTAAAACTTTTTTTCGCCCTTGGAATGATCTATTATTTTTGACAAAACTCGAAATTTCACTGTTGTCGAATGGCACGCACTCCGTCACTCATACTGGTTTCATTGCACTTTTGTCATCGCCCATTCCATAGTAGATTTAGTCACTACAGTGTGGTTTGCTTCCGCTTCCGTTTGAGTCGGCCCTCGCCCCGAGTGACGTGTGTGACACCCTGTACATACTGTGACAGAGGGCCCCTTTGAACGCGCGAGCTATGAATTCGTTCTCAATTGTGAAAGTAGGCTTTCTAGTGTAACGCCTCTCGTGCCCTTCGTGTTTGTGTGACTCTTGGGCTGACGGCGCAGGTGAAGCAGAAGTACTTGTCGCGGGGCTCGGCGACGCCGTCCACCCCGCCCGCCGCCGCGCCGGCCGCGTCCAGGACGCAGCAGGACACGACGCCGCCGCGCTTCCAGAGCAGGTTTCTGGGTGAGCGTCCCACCACTGCGTCCTTTGTGTGCAATCTACACCGCACAGTGGGCCAGAAGACCGGTGGAGGCGGCCAAAATCCCGGACGCGTTTTGACCTTCAGAGTCGCTAAATGGGACTCGAACTGAACGTGTGACCCCACCAACGGATTGCTCTCCGAACGTGGAATCCATTGGTGGGGTCACACGTTCGGTTCGAGTCCTGCTTCGCGACTCTGGAGCTCAAAACGCGTCTGGAGTTTAGGCCGCCTCCGCCGGTCTTCTAGCCCACTGTTGGGCTGCGTTGTTTGACGTGCGTGTGCACACAGGAGGCAACCGGCCGCAGCCCGACAAGGCCAAGGACGAGGAGGAGGACGACGACACGGAGAGCAGCTCGGAGGAGGAGACCGACTCCGACGAGGAGGAGGACAAGACCAAGAAGAAGGGTAAGTGGTTCAACGCCCTTCACGTTCCAACTTTCCCACGTGTATTTCTTTAGCGCATTATTCAACTTGGCCGCTTGGTGCAGAGGAAGTGAACCGCATGGACATCGGGCCGCTGCTGGCCAGGAGTGCCAACGCCAGGGACTCGGCCACGGCGACGCGGCGCGACAGCAGAGACGACACCGGTGAGTTGGCACCACCTCGACCACCTCCCAGCTAGCTTCTTTTTTTGCACGCCGGATCTATCATCCAAATACTCCTGTGATTTGGCATGCATTTTTGCGCTCCTTCCGCGTCTTTTTTGTAGTCATTAGACACTCTGTCGCCCCAACACGCTCTCCGCACCTTTCCAGCACACGACCCACAGCATCATATGTGTGTGTGTCTTTGCAGCCACTCCCCCCGCCTCCGCGGCTCGCAGCAACCAACAACAACAACAGAAACAAGAACAGCAGCAGCAACAACAGGCACCCTCGACGTCCTCTGACCCCCCGCCGGCCAACCCCCGCCCCTGGAGGCAGAGTAGGCCCTGGCTGGCCCGACAGCCCCCCAAGCCCCCACCCCCCGCCATCGCGCCCCTCAGCCCCGAGGAGATCCTGGACCTGCCGGAGTCCACCTCGCCGCGCGGTTCCTCCCCCACCAACCTCCTGGCTAAGGCCTTGCCCACCCTGGAGCAGACCAAGCAGTCCGTCAACAGGTTCCTGAGGCGGTCGCGCGGCGGCCCCTACTGAGCCTGCGTCCTTGTGACCTTGAGACCGGCTCCTTGTGACCTTGAGACCGGCCCCTTGTGACCTTGAGACCGGCTCCTTGTGTGACCTTGAGACCGGCTCCTTGTGACCTTGAGACCGGCTCCTTGTGTGACCTTGAGACCGGCTCCTTGTGACCTTGAGACCGGCTCCTTGTGACCTTGAGACCGGCTCCTTGTGTGACCTTGAGACCAGCTCCTTGTGACCTTGAGACCGGCTCCTTGTGTGACCTTGAGACCGGCTCCTTGTGACCTTGAGACCGCGCGTCCTTGTGACCTTGAACCGTGTCCTTGTGACACTCATCTACCTCTCGCCCCATTCGCCCTCTTCTGTGTTCGTCGTCGAGGGGCATCCACTCGGCTCTCGCAGCGTCGGACTCTATCGAGGAAGCAGCTTGCAGTCTCGCTTGGTCGCACCCTCCCCCCCCCCTCCCCTCCACCGCCTTCCCACACTCACCCCTCCTCTCGACCAGTCGATTAATTCATTTAATCATTTTCAATCCGCCGGTGAGATGGAATCCACATGGATGAGGTTGAACTCTCTTCCGGAAGTCTTTCGATGTCGTCCGTACGTGCACGGCTTACGGACACGTGTATGCATTTATTTTCCCGCCAAATTTGAAGGCACCCCCGCTTGCTGAACCGCGGTAGACGGCATTAACTAGAGCGGCATTGGCTTTCCTCCGAGCTTTCCTCGGTTCCTTCACTGAGAAACGCGACGTTTCCCGTTTTGTGCATGTCACCATGTCACTCGCGTGGCTCTCGTGGCCAGCCTTTGTAAAGAGATCGGATTTATATTGTACAAAATGGTGTCGAGCTGATAGTTTTATTTAATAATTGTGTCACTACATTGTACAAATTTGAGTTTATGAAATAAATAAAAATAAGCAGGTCCAACCTACTGCGTGGATTCCAACTCTTTTCATTTGACACGAGTACCTGACACGTTTGAATGGACTCACACAGTTCCATGGATGTGTGTGCATGATCTTCTTCGTCCTTGCTTGTCTGTCCCTCTAGAGAGCATGTTACCAGTACTGCCTTAGCGGCCACTCGGATCTGGCCCTTGCATTAAATTGCCTACCTTAAATTGTTGACGTCTCTTCAAACGTGTTTGCAGGTACTCTAGCTCAACCCCCAGAGCCCCTAACCATCAAGTCAGTACACTGCAAATTCGAAACACTAGACGTATTTAGTAACGAGATTTAAGTAAAGAGACGCACCATTTGAGTGTAACAAACTTAATCATATCAGAGAGAAAAACACTTTTTTTTAAATGCATAATGCATATTTACTCATAGTCGTGATTCTCATCTCACACTTCGACCCAACCAAACAAAATTACAAACTGACATTGTCGATTGTGGGATTTCAACCGTTTCTAAAAAGGGTAAAATATTCTTTGCAATGTTCTGACGCCGTGCGGACACTACGGACCTTGACCGTGAACTCTTTTGTAAAACACAGCCACAAAAAAATGACTGTCGACACGAACGGAACAACACTCGGTGAAACGGTTAAGCGAGTGCACGGCGACGCCCCCGCGAATGAAGACCATGTTGGCGTTGTTGGTCTCGGCAGGTACTCGGCAGTCGTCGACGGCGTCCTACCGCTCCCCGTTGTCCTCCCGGGACGACAGCGGCGGCTACCGCTCGCAGCGCGCCAGCAGGGACGAGTCCACGGACGCGCCCTCGTCGGCCGGGTCGCGGTACGGCTCGGCGGCCTCCACCACGTCCACGCCGTCGTCCTACACCTCCCGCTTCCTCAACAAGTCCAAGAGCTCCGCCAACGTGGACGAGGACGAGTCCTCGCGCGCCAAGACCGCCGCCGTGCCCGACGAGTCCACCAGGTAGGTACAACCGCCGACGGCCGCCACATTCCCGCCCCTGACCGCCACAAGTTTCGCAGGTACTTTCACACACCAAGTGAACTGTTGTCCGGGATGTTGATGTCGTTCTCCTCGTCGGCGTGCCCCAGGTACCCCAGCGGCCGCTCACGCTACGCGGCCCTCAAGGAGCGGCGCTCCCGCCTCGCGCGCTCCCGCAGCTCGCACAACATGGGCGGCGCGGACGACATGGACGACGCCGAGGACCTGTCCGCCACGACCAGCCCGTCGGCCTACTTGGCGTCGCGCGGCTACGGCTCCAGCCAGTCCGGCTCGGAGCTGGCCCGCTCCCGCTCCACGCACGCGCTCAAGTCGCGGGACAACTCGCCCGAGCGCGGCGGCGAGCGCGACGGCACGGCGCTCAGCTCGTGGGCCAGGTAGGGACTCACGCCCGGCAACGGCCGGACCCCCATTGACGAGCCCCTTCATTGCCGAGACCGTTTCCCCCAGTTTTTCTCTCATGACTAGTCACAATAACGAATCGATTCATTCATCCGTTTTGCCGCCCGCATGCCGTCTGTCCGCATGGCCGCTTGTCTGTCCGTCTGTCTGCCTGTCTGACCGTCTGTCCGTCTCATCGCCCTGTGCTAGGACTAGAGCCCGCTCCGTCCACGCCCTGAAGAGTAGGGAGGCCTCCCCCGAGCGCGACACTGCCGACAGGGCCGACCGGGCCGAACGGGACGCCCTGTCCCAGGCTAACATCAGCGCCTACAGGTGGGCAAGTTGGCAAGCCGAGAGGCTCGCAGAATCCAATGAAAGAGTCTGTCCTTAAAGGACATCGGCTGAGGGAACCCCCAGACCCTTCTAGTGTCCTGCACGAACAATAATATTTGCACTCAGCCCTTTTGATCATTTCATCTTCATCTAATTCATTCTCGACCGCCTCTCACTCTCTCTCTCTCTTCCTCTGTCTACTTCTGCTTCTTCCCCAGGTCCAGAGCACGCCAGGCGGCGCTCAAGTCCAGAGAGACTTCCCCCGAACGGGGCGCTGAGAAAGACGCCAATAGTCCAGCGCTCAGTTCGTGGGCGAGGTACGTAGAGCGTAGCGCGTAGAGCGGGCCAGCAGCCCCGGAGCGCGAAGCGTGAACCGGCCGCACGTTGGGCCCGAGGACCGGCAGAGGCGGCCAAAACTCTAGACGCGTTTTGAGCTCCAGAGTCATCAAACAGGACTCGAACCGAACGTGTGACCCCACCAATGGATTCCTCGTTCAGAGAGCTATCCATTGGTGGGGTCACACGCTCGGTTCGAGTCCCATTTAGCGACTCTGGAGCTCAAAACGCGTCTAGAGTTTTGGCCGCCTCCACCGGTCTTCTGGACCGACCACTGTGCGGCGATCTCGCGGTGGGTTGAGGTTCAAAACACTAGCAAAGACACGGAATAGCAGTTCAGACTATCGGGGCGGCCACCGGGTTTCCAAACTCTGTCTCGTTTTCCTTGTCCGTCTCTTGCAGCCTGCCATACAATAACACGGAAACGCTATTCTAACCGTCATCTTCACAGCACGTTCCATTAACAAACACACCGCCATGACATGCCCGCCACGCCACTCTTTTCGCGCCACAGCGCGATCGACGGACGGCGAAGAAGAAAACCGATGGAATCAAGTAGGCCATTTTGTTATCCGCTTTGAATCGAGTACACTTAAACTATCCTTATCGATAAACGAACCATCGTGTGGAAAAAAACTAAAAAAGAAAAATGATTTTTAATTAATTAGTAGCCAAGGCCTTGCCTTTTCCTTCGGTTCTTCCCGGCCTAAGTGATCACCCTGCCTCGCCCCCAGGTACCTCAAGAACAAGTACGGCCCCCGCAAGGAGGGCAAGGACGGGGCGGCGTCATCGGCGTCCTCGGCGGCGGGCAGCGCGGCGTCCTCGGCGGCGTCGCGGCGCCTGTCCCTCGGCCTGCCCCTCAGCAGGCACAACTCGGCCTCCATCGACTCTTCTGACGACGACCAAAAAAACCCGGTCGGCTCCCCCACCTCCCCTACAGCAGCTACGGCGGCAGCAGCAGCCGGTGAGAGACGAGATCCTAGACACGGTCCTAGACACGGTCCTAGACACGCGTTGTAAAGAGGCCGTTTAACGCCCTGCTCTTTCCGGCCAGGTTTCGCAGCGGGCGCTACCTCCCCTAGGAGTCAGTACCTGCAGAAGCGACGACAGCTGTTTCAAATCGGGAGTCGGGGGAGCGAGCCCGGAGCCTTCACCTGGCCGCGCGGCATAGCCGTCGGCCCGGACAACACCTTCGTCATCGCGGACTCGTCCAACCACCGCGTTCAAGTGAGTGCACTCTCAATTATGCAGCTAAGTATGGACCAATTTGTGGTAGTGTATGTTATTCACAAATTCGTTGGGCACAATTTTATTAACTGCAGCTTAATATGGAAACATTGTCACTATCGTAACGATTCTGTCATGGACAAACGTCCTGAAACATTTAGTGTGGACGCAGTGGACTGGAAGGGAAGGCCTCGTAGCCGATAGGCTGCTTTCAAGACCTTTTATTTTCCTTATCAACAACATAATTTAATATTAAAAAAAAAACAGAACGAAACGGTACGATTTGCTTTCCAGGTCTTCGATTCCAACGGCATCTTCGTCAAGGAGTTTGGTAGCTACGGCAACGGAGAGGGCGAGTTTGACTGCCTCGCCGGTGTCGCAGTGAACCGCATTGGTCAGTTCATCATAGCTGACCGCTACAACCACCGCATCCAGGCGAGTGTTGCACCCCGCCCCAGCCCCCCTTCATTTTCACGTTTTGAAACGTAGTTTTTTTGTTTTTAGAAAGTTTAGGATTAATATTCTATTCAGCCACCGATAGATTAGGTGCCGGATCCTTTATCATCCAATCTTGTTGATTTCATCGTGCAGCAAGCACAAACACACATTAAAACTGAAAGTAAAATAATTTACTCATTCAAGAGCTTTTACGAAATAACTGTTTTGAAGTGCTGCTTGCTTCTGACTGATGCAAGTACTATTGCACTCCATCGTACTAAAATACACTTCATTTGAAAAGGGTTTTATTTACTCAACCGACTGAGGTAAAATCTTTCCTTTTTTTAAATTTACCTCTTATTCACCCCCAACTCCAATTAACCGCTCCGCTACAAAGCTTCACTAAACCTCACGTAGTGGTCAGCAAAAGCAGATATGAGTGTGGTTTTCGCAGTGTACTGCTAACCACCCCTCGCCTCAACGTTCAACCCCCACACATGAAAACAAAAAGGATTCCCCGATGCCTACTCCGAACGTAACCATCTACTGCAGACATAATCACTTGGGTTTTAAAATGAATACATTGTGCCGTGTTTCCACCCCGATGCTTTTGTACAAACGCGCGCCACTTCCTCGGTGGCGACATCCTGTGGTTCCGGCGCTCCAGGGCGACGGCCTGCTTGTCGTGCGACACGTGCGGCGACACGTGCAGCGCCTCGTGTAACGCTGTGGGACCCGCGCGGCCGGACGCTTGCGCTGATTGCAGGTGATGGACCCGTCCGGCCGCTTCTTGCGAGCGTTCGGATCTCAGGGGACCGCGGACGGCCGCTTCAACTACCCGTGGGGCATCACCACCGACGCCCTGGGCTTCATCTACGTCTGCGACAAGGAGAACCACCGCGTGCAGGTGCAAAACGCGCAAACGCAACGCGGTCCAATTTTTACAATCAGTTTTTCCGACCTTTTTTTGTTGTTTTTGTTTTTCTAACGGATCTTGCGTGCAGGTGTTCCAGTCGGACGGCACGTTCGTGGGCAAGTTCGGGTCGTCCGGCCGGGGCCCCGGCCAGCTGGAGCACCCCCACTACATCGCCGTGTCGTCCACCAACCGGGTCATCGTGTCCGACTCGAACAACCACCGCATCCAGATCTTCGACGTCAACGGCCGCGTGATTACGTCATTCGGCTCGGAAGGATCTGAGGAGGGCCAGTTCAAGTTCCCCCGGTGAGTGGGCGGCCTGAGAGCGCACAGTGGCCCCAGACGACTGGCGGCGGCTAAAATTCCAGACGCGTTTCGAGCTCCAGAGTCGCTAAACAAGGACTCGAACCGAACGCGTGACCCCATCAATGGACTTCTCGTTCGGAGAGCAATCCATTGGTGGGGTCACACGATCGGTTCGAGTCCTGTTTAGCGACTCTGGAGCTCGAAACGCGTCTGGAATTTTGGCCGCGCCTCCGCCGGTCTTCTGCCGCACTGCAGAACGGATCCAAAAGGATACAATTGCCCCCCACCCCTGGATAGCCGCCTCAAAGGCAGGCGAAAAGCGACACTTGGAAGTAGACGAAAAGTGCTACTTTGCCCCCCGGGGGCGGTTCTGGATCCGCCACTGGAGCGGCCCGCCGCCATGCTGCGCCCGCGCCTGGAGCGCCCGCGGATCGGCGGGTAGGCAGCCCGCTGTGCACGCAAGACCGGCGGCACGGCCCGCCTGCCAGGCTGCTGTCTGACTGTCTGTCTGTCTGTCTGTCTGTCTGTCTGTCTGTCTGTCTGTCTGTCTGTCTGTCTGTCTGTCTGTCCGTCTGTTTGTCTGTTTGTCTGTCTGTCTGTCTGTCTGTCTGTCTGTCTGTCTGTCTGTCTGTCTGTCTGTCTGTCCGTCTGTCTGTCTGTCTGTCTGTCTGTCTGTCTGTCCGTCTGTCTGTCTGTCTGTCTGTCTGTCTGTCTGTCTGACTGTCTATCTCTCTGTCCCGCAGGGGCGTGGCCGTCGACGACCAGGGCTACATCTTCGTCGGGGACTCTGGCAACAACCGCATCCAGATCTTCCACCCGGACGGCGCGTTCCTGCGCGCCTTCGGCTGCTGGGGCGCCGGCCCGGCCGAGTTCAAGGGCCTGGAGGGCGTGGCCGTGCTCAGCGACGGCAAGATCCTCGTCTGCGACCGCGAGAACCACCGCGTGCAGGTCTTCTAGGCCTGCTTCTAGTCATCGCGCAGCGGCATCGTCCAAGCATCACAACCACCGAAGGCGGAGGGGTCGGACAGCCGAGAAAAGAAACAGAAAGTCGAGGATTCGAACCCGGGACAGAAGCGTAGATGCAAATCACGAGAAGTTTACTGGCCAGCTAAGACCTGAGTCTTAGCAGGTTACGTGAAATCGATTTGGACGGGGCAGTGCTGTTTGAGATTTGAGAGAATCTTGCGTTTTTGATTGCGTAGTTTGGGGGAATACTTTGTATTTTGTTCAACCTGCGAAAATTAAAGTTTGATGTTTGTCTTTTGTACTACAGCAAAATGCATTAGGTTCCAGACAAAAAACCGTCATTGCGCTCCCTGGCTTGTCCATCGACACAGTCGTTGCCGTGCTCATATTGGCACGAGCCACAAAGCTGGAGCCGAACTCCTGCACAGCAGTTACTTGTTTTGGGATTTATGAATGTGTATTGCTTTGTGTGTCAGTAATTCAATAAACCTTATGTGGAGACGAACTGTCCTGTACATCCTTTGCTCTGACGATCCCTACTCGACATTCCTCCTCGCTCGGTCAGAGCTGAGAGCGGCTGGAGCACACAGTGAAGACGCGTTTTTAGCTACAGAGTCGCTGAACAGGACTCAAACCGGGCGCGGGACCCCCAACAATAAATTCCTCATTCGGAGGGCAATCCATTAGTGGGGGTCACACGCTCTGTTTGAGTCCTGCTTTGCGACTGTGGAGCTCAAAGCGAGTTTCGACCGCCTCACAGTTTCGACCGCCTCACAGTGGGCCAGTCTTGTGGTCCGCTCGCGACGCCAGCTTAGGCAACCCATCCTACACCCCGGCCGGTTGGGTTGCATCGCTGCTGCAGCATCCATTACCATTAAGGGCTCCCTGCCGCGCACGGTCTGGCGCTGGCCGGCTGCATTGATCCTTCGACTCTACACAGCGGACCAAGCACTCTGTCAAGATGAGCAGTCTGCACTGGCTGAAATAGCATTTCACTGTAATGTTGTGCCCTTCAACCTCTTCGGCGGTTTTGAACGTTTTCGTATTTGAATTTCCCGCTCATGCGTTCTGCCAATAGTCGTCTTCCCGCGTGATACTGTCTGCGACCTTTTCCGCTTCAGTCGTCAGTCTCTACTGAAAGATATCACATTGAGGAGTCTGTGTTGGAATGAAAATATTTTTTTAGAATGCCGGGAAATGACATTTAGGCAATAATGACCGTCGAAATGACTACCGCAGTACTTGTAGAGTGCGAGCTTGACCATGGTGGTGGCGCCCCACTTCCCCCCTCGTCACCGCCTCCCCCTCCCCCTCCCCTTCTCCCCGCCCTCCTCCTCTACCAGTTGCAGTACCTGCCAGTAGTGACTGAACTTCCGTTGTAGAACTCGTAAACCAGTAAACGTCCGAATTCTGGTTGTCAAACTTAATGTTTATGCGGTGCCGCCTGCGTTTGGAAACAAATACGTTGAACTCGCCCAGTTAATACTTTTGTAAATATTGTTGTGTACAAAGTTGGTGCCTCAAAATGAACAAGAAGTGCGCTCGGTGTGAAAAAACGGTGTACCCGATAGAAGAACTCAAGTGTTTGGATAAGGTAATATTTGAGAGTACATTTTTCACAACGTTTTAATTTGCGGCGGTGAAGTGTGAAACGAGACGAGTGTGATTCCTCGTCCGGCTTCTAGGTTAGACCTCCGTTTATGTGGTGTTACCGGTCCAGGTGTCCTGCCATTTAATTTGCTGCCAGGTACACTGGTGCACGCCCCGCTCAATAATTTGCAACACCTTGAGCGAACCGGCTGCGAAAAAATATTATCGCGCACTCAGTTGTGGTCCTTTTTTGTAATCGCGGTGTTCGCTTCTTGTAGTTAACTCATGTCTGCTTCGATCTATCACTTCGACACCTGTTTGTTTACCAAATTATTCATTCAGTAATTCTAACCTCAAAATGATGCTGCCCTTTTGTCTGGACTGTCGAGTTTAAAAGTTGTTGTTATTTTGTGGATCTGGCTGTGTATTCTTCGGTCTAATTTATGTATCATTTTTTTATTTTCATGTTCCAGGCCATTGTTAGTTGTCAAGTGTCTCACTCATATCTGAAAATTGTTGTGTAATAACTTATCTAAGTGTCATGAAATGTTTTTATGCGCAACTCAATTCAAAAGTAAAGCAACATTTTTTTGGCTGTGCGTTGATGTGTAACATAAATAAGTTACCCTTTGGCATTCGTTCCTAGACTATTTTAAGAGTTAGGTATGGCCTGTTTATATCCTATCCGATGAAAGGTAACCTGAATGTGACAGTTGTGGACTGACGATACTTCAAAACAAAAGTTGATTTTCATCTGGGACATTATCCTCATTTTTATCGGCTGTCCAAGCATAATTCTTTACAAGCGCAATACTTTGAGTCTAAGTTTCTGAATGACGTAATCTTTGTCTGCAACGTCCAATCCAGCTGTGTGCCGCTTGAAGCTACAACTTGTCACTGCAGCTGCCTCTCGGAAAGGGAGGGTGCCTCTCCTCTGCCTCTCTGTCTGTCCTGCGTCCTGGCGGCAGTCTTTATCCTTATCTAGACGCGAGAGAGTTTAGGATGGCGAGTGGTGATCTCGGCGCAGCCTCTGGCCTCTGGCTGCCTCTGGCGCCCGCCTGTTGCCGTGCGCCTCGCCGCCACTCGCCGCCTCGTTCCGAGGGATTCTTTGGTCGCTCTGTCTCTGTCTCACTCATGGGGCGTCCCGTAGGGTGTGAGAGAGACGGAGCGACGGTGCCGCGGTGCCGCGCCGGGGAATGACATATCAGGCGGTCGCTTTGTTCGCCTAGCCGCCAAGCCGCCTTGCAGCTGATAACTAGTTTATCACAATCACATCTGGTTAAGGCGAGAGCGGCTTGGCGTGGCGTGGCGTGGCGTGTCGTGGTGGCGCCGCGCGGCAGTGGCAGCAGGTACCCCAGTGTACCCCCCGCGGCCCGCGGTTCCCCGTGACTTATCTCGGCCCCGCTGCTGCAGCACAGCGGTCCCCGCGGTCCCGCGCCGCCGTGTTTCGCCGTCGCCCTGTCTCTGTCGCACCGCGACGCGACGCCCGACGGTGCGACGGAGACAGGGCGACGACGCCAGCGTGGCTTCGTCGGCAGTACCTGCGATTTGCATGCTGCCCGATTCCGAGAGTCGGTTTCGACGCGCTGGCTCTCTCGCACCTACTCGGTATACGTTCCACGCCGGTGTTCCACGAGTGTGTGAGAGAGAGAGACGGCGACGAAACGACTCTCGGAATGAGTCTGGCTGTCGCCCGGGGACTGGGAAACGCACCGGGCGGCGCTGCTGCTTGCAATGGGATGCCACTCCGATGCCGCTGCACACTGATTCCGAGTGGGCGGTCTCTCTCGCACTGTTGGGACGTCCCGTTCCGGTGCGAGAAGGATAGACCGACGGAATCAGTACACTGGCGGCCGGCCGGGGCCGCGCGGTGTTGGGCTAGGCCCTGGTTGGGCGGGCCCGCTGCATCGGTGGACTCGAAACATGATCTGAAAACGTGACAGTGAGGGTTCGATTTGGTGTAAGAAATTGTTTTGGCGGGTCGCTTGCTTTGTGGGTGGCCGCAGGCCGCGGTGCTGCGGTGTCCGCGTGCCTGGCCGTCGCTGGGTGCCGTCGGGAGGTGGACAGGACGGGCTACGACGGGCTGGTGTCACGCTAGCGGGGCGGGGGGCGACCGAGCCTCGGCGGGACGGTGGGGCCTCGGGCCTCGTGTCGGCGACCCTGCTACTTCCGCGGGTCCGCCCCGCCCCGCCAATCCGACGGCATCTCGCGGCGTCATCGTCATCCTGGAGGCGCTCCGGGCCGCGGCGTCCTTGCCGGCGGGCCGCCCCGCCGCCCCCAAGGTGGCCGTCACCGCGCACCGCGCGGCACGCACGCCGCCGGGACTCTGGGCTAATCTTATCTCGGAGCGCCGCACAGTGGGCCAGAAGACCGGCGGAGGCGGCCAAAATTCTAGACGCTCCAAGTGGGACTCGAACCGCATGCATGACCCCACCAATGGATTCCTCGTTCGCAGAGCAATCCATTGGTGGGGTCACACGCTCGATTCGAGTCCCATTCAGCGACTCTGGATCTCAAAACGCGTCTAGAGTTTCGGCCGCCCGCCGGTCTTCTGGCCCACTGTGCGCCTCATCGCGAGCCTCGTCGTGTGCGTGGCGCTTGGCAGTGTACTAACGGCGTAGTGGCGGCATTGTGCACTAATTCCAGATCTTTTGCCCCTTTCCAGATATGGCACAAGACGTGCTTCAAGTGCAAGGAGTGCGGCATGGCGCTCAACATGCGCAACTACAAGGGCTTCAACAAGGACCCCTACTGCGAGGCGTAAGTAGTCGCGCCGCTTATTGGGCGTAATTGTCCAAGCCTCCCACCTCCGCGGCACTGCAGCCACTCCAGCCGCCGCGGCCGGCCGGCCGTGCCACTGGAGAACCGCGCTGGAGCCGCGCTGGAGCCGCGGTACTTTACGGGCCGGCGCGGCACGGCGCGGCACGGCACGGCACGGCACGGCGCGGCGGTCGCGGACTCGCGGACTGGAATGGCCGTTACGCCCAGCGCGTTCGGCCTTCAGGGCCCCGGCCCGGCCCGCCACAGTCCTAGGTGCAGCAGTGTGTCATGTCCTGTCGGCTCGGCGCCTTTTTTTCTAGGAGTGGAAAGCAAAGCCCGACCTTTAGCTGCAGTGTCGCTGCGCTGCGCCACGCGGGGCGCGGGGCGGGCGGTACAGTCTGCACAGAGATGTTTCGGCGCGCCGCGGGAAATCGACTGACATTTGAATGGGCGTGAAACATAGAACAGGCGCGCTGCGCGCAGTGTGGGACTTTTTCGGCGCCAATGTTGGCCCGGTTCTTCCGGCCGGGAGGAGGAGAGAAAGTGCAGCAGCGGCTTTTTCTGAAATTTTGCCGCTCGCTTCGCGGGCCGTGCGTCCGTGTGGGATGCGTTCTCAAGCCGCGGCTTCCGGCGCTGCACAGTGGCCCAGAAGACGGACGAAATTCTAGACGCGTTTTGAGCTCCAGAGTCGCTCAACAGGACTCGAACCGAACGTGTGACCCCACCTATGGATTCCTCGTTCGGAGAGCAGTCCATTGGTGGGGTCACACGCTCGGTTCGAGTCCTGTTTAGCTACTCTGGAGCTCAAAACGCGTCAAGAGGTTTGGCCACCGCCCGCTGTGCGCTGTCTCGCCGTGCCTGGCCGGGGCCCTTCGCCCAGCGCCGCGCTAGTTTCCCTTATTTAGGCGGTTTGCTCTATCTTATCTGCATTTGGCTCGCGGCCCGATAGCGCCACCCTGCAGGGCATGCCCTGGCGCCCTCGCGCTGCACATGCAGGCCGGCAGGACCGCGTCCTCCACGCCCTCGTCCACGCCCGCAGGCTCATCCCGGAGGAGCGTTTCGTCGCTCTGTCTCCGTCGCACTCACGGGGCGTCGCGTTGGGGAGCGAGAGAGAGGGAAGACATCGGCCGGACCTTCTTCCGCGCACTTCCGCCGCTCTGTGCGTGCGCCGCGGCGTGGCGTGCCCATATGTGGCGTTGCCTGGCGTTGCCTGGCGGCGTTATGGAGCGCCACTGCTGTCGTCGCTCCGTCCCCCTCGCACTCACGGGGCGCCCCCTTGAAGGCCGTAGGTGCGAGAGAGACCGAACGGCGAGAGCGGAATTCGCGCGGCGCCACCGTGACGCGCGTGCGCGCCGATCTAGCCGATCACGCCCGGCGCCGCGCTTTCTTCGATGAAGCGTGTGCGCGGCCGCGGCGCCGAGCGTGGCATGAGCGTGGCATGAGCGCGGCATGAGCGTGGCATGAGCGTGGCATGAGCGTGGCATGAGCGTGGCATGAGCGTGGCATGAGCGCGGCATGAGCGTGGCACGAGCGCGGCATGAGCGTGGCATGAGCGTGGCATGAGCGCGGCATGAGCGTGGCACGAGCGTGGCGCGCCACCTGCGGCACGGCGGCGTGGACGCCCCGACCCTCATCGCCGTGCCGGCGAACGACCTGAGGTCGCCGTCGTCGCGGCCGGCCGTCGCTGGCGGCCGTGCCGTCGCAGTGAGTCGCGGCGAGTCACTGCTCCCGGCCTTGACCTCGTATTTGTCGGCTGACCTCTGGGCGTGCCTGCCGGTGCTTGCGCGGCCGGCCTGGCCACCGCCTGGCCACCACCGCGTGTCCTCTGCCACGGCGCACCTGGCCGGACGGACGGGCCGCCGTCGTGGACGGCGGACATGGCGGCGGACATGGCGGCGGATGGCCCCGGTGACGGCGACGCGGCCCGGAAACGCGCCGACGCGGCCAAAGGGCGAGCAAGGGCGTCGCTTCCGCCTTTCCGGCGTATTTCGATACGATTCGCGGATTCGGATTCGGATTGGCGTTCGCGGGGTCACGATGAGGCGGTCGGTGCGGGCGGCATGACGGGGCGGGCGCGGGCCAGGGCCCAGGCGGGCCTTCCGCGGAGCGCTGCTACCCGGATGTGATGGAGCCGTGACTTGGCGTGTGTGGCCCCACAGTGTGGCCCCACAGTGTGGGCCCACAGTGCGTGGGCGGTTTCGGTTTTGGTGTGGGAATGCGAATGGAATCCACGCCGCCGTCCATTCCGTGCGGCGCCGCGCTGCGCTGCGCCCTGCACGCGTCCATGCCGTCTATTTCGAGGCTCCCTGCTGTCCAATGGGATTGGCCTGCTGGTGCACGCGGCGGCACGCGGCGCACGCGGTTCCCGTGGGGCTTCCCTGCCCCCCCCCCCTCCCCCCCTTCCCAGCCGCGAGGTGGAGCGCTCTATTTGGTTCGAATCGCCGCTCGAAGGTAAACAGTCCCGGCGGCACCAGGGGAGCTCAGAGCTCAGGCCGCGAGGGGCGTGGTGGTGGAGCTGGCGCTACGCGCCGCGTGCACCACAATGGTGCACTCCGCCGCCGTGCCCCGGCGTCGCGGCCGATCGCGGCGCCCCCCGGTGCCGATCACCATTTTTCCGCTATCGGGTCGGGGAGGGGAGCGGAGGGGCACTTTTCGGTCCAAGGAGCATGTTGAGCAACGGTGGTGGCTGCTGCGGCTGCTGCCGCCTGCCGCAGGTGTCGCCCCAAGCCGCGCCGCTGCGACTGCCGCGACGACGCCGAGCCGGCCCGGCCGCCGCGCCGCCATGCCGGCTGACTGGCTCGCCGGCGCGAGGCTGGCGCGATGAGTAACGGGTTGGTCGGTCCTAGGCCCTGGCGGCACGGCGGCCCAGCGCCGCACCGCTTGCTCTACATTCCTGGACCAGGCGGCGGGGCTTGGCGGGGCTTGGCGGGGCTTGGCGGGGCTTGGCGGGGCTTGGCGGGGCTTGGCGGGGCTTGGCGGGGCTTGGCGGGGCTTGGCGGGGCTTGGCGGGGCTTGGCGGGGCTTGGCGGGGCTTGGTGGGGCCCACTGGTGGGGCCGATGCACGACGAGGCGGACGGACGCACGGACCGCGCTGACCTGCAAGCCCTGCAAGGTCGCGGAGCCTTGCAGTGTGCTCGCAGTCCTTACCGCCGCGCCACGTTGTCGCACTGGCCCCGGCTGCCTATGGCTGCCTTGCCGACGCCCGCCTATGGCTGCCCATGGCGCGGCCGTGCTGGCGGCGCGTGGCAGCAGACTGACTCCGAGAGTCGTTTTCGTGGTTCCGTCTCTCTCGCACCCACACGGGACGCCCCCTGAGAGCGAGAGAGACAGAGCGACGGAATGAGTCTACAGCCGAGTGCATGCATGAGCCGTACGCCAGCAGGGCAAGGCCGGGCGAGGCTCGTTGAAAGTGAAACGCCTTCTGGACTTCCCCCACGCCACTTCCTCATGTGCTGCGTGACTCATGGGGGTCGACGCTGGTCGACGCGGTGACGACGCCGTGACGACGATGTGACGATGCATGGGGTGACGGCGCCGTGACGGACGATGTGACGGTGCATGGGTCGACGACGCCGTGACGGACGATGTGACGGTGCATGGGTTGACGACGCCGTGACGGACGATGTGACGATGCATGGGGTGACGGCGCCGTGACGGACGATGTGACGGTGCATGGGTTGACGACGCCGTGACGACGATGTGACGATGCATGGGGTGACGGCGCCGTGACGGACGATGTGACGGTGCATGGGTCGACGACGCCGTGACGGACGATGTGACGGTGCATGGGTTGACGACGCCGTGACGGACGATGTGACGATGCATGGGTCGACGACGCCGTGACGACGCCGTGACGAGTCCGCAACGCTAGCCCCACAGGTGCAGTCGTGAGGGGGCACACAGAGTACGCCACTCGGCGTGGACGTCTCGCGAGCCCCACACTGCCTTATTAGGCGAATGGGGCTGCCTGTCCCCCGCGGGCCCCTGCGGGGGTGGGGGACCCTGCTGGGGTACCCTGGGGGTGGGGCACGCCGTGGCACGTCACGTGGCTGGCGGCGGGAGTGCAGGCTGGAAAGGCTGGACGCTGGACAGGAACCTCAAATCGCGCTGCGCCGCGCCCAGCGGAGACGGCCGTCGCCGCGGCCGAGCCTCTCGTGGGAGGTGGGGCCGGTGGGGCCCAGTGGGGCCGCGGCCAAGGCGTGCCCGGCTCGTGGGGCCGTATGGAGCCCGGCCACCAGCCCCGCCAGTCGCTGGACCCGCGCTGGTGACGTCATAGGCGCTGCACAGCGCCGCACAGCGCCGCACAGCGCCGCACACTGGGAGCCTGGAACTGGAAGCTGGAAGGCCTGGAGGCGGATGAGTGCAGTGGATTTGCCAGAAGACCGGAGGAGGTGGTCAAAATCCCGGACGCCTTATGAGCTCCAGAGTCTCTGAATGGAACGTGCGACCCCACCAATGGATTGCTTTCCGAACGACGAATCCATTGGTGGGGTCACACGTTCGGTTCGAGCCCCATTTAGCGACTCTGGAGCTCGAAACGCGTCCGGGATTGTGACGCATCCACCGCTCTTTTGGCCGACCCTCTGTGCGGCGCTGGAAAATGATGACGGTGCAGCCACTGCACAGTGCAGTGGCGATATTAGCCCGGGCCTGGAATCGGCAGCATGCCCTGCCATGCCCTGCCATGCCCTGCCATGCCCTGCCATGCCCTGCCCTGCCCTGCCCTGCCCAGAGACTGCGGGACTGCATCACGGCCCGTGCTTTCCGTTCCGTTTGGCCAGAGCCTACTCGTATTGTATGCTAATGCACTCGGCCCGGCCGTAGAGTCCAGCCCGCAGCCCCGCAGCCCGCCCTGGTTACGCCCCTAATGTACCTCGTTTTTGCCGGGCGGGTCGGGGCGTCGGGCCCGGCTGGTAGCGAGGGCCTTGCCCGCTGGAGAGAGAGAGGGAGACTAGACAGCAACGCAACACGCTTGCCGGCCGCTTGGCCTGCACAGCCTGCACAGCCTGCACCGGCTGGGCGGCTAAAATTAGCGCTAGGCTGTGTGCATCCACGTGCTGGCCTGTTTGGACTGGAGCGCTATGTGAGCGCGATGATGAAGTGGGTTGCGTTTAGGGGTTGGTTTAGGATACGTAAACAAGCTTGCTTGTATAGTATGGGACATCCTTCTTCCCTTGTGTGGATCAATTTAAATTATGTGCTGTCTATAATTTTCTTTCCGTTTTGCTTGCAGTCATATTCCCAAGGCGAAGGCAACCACAATGGCTGATACACCAGAGTTGAAACGCATCCAAGAAAATACTAAACTGCAATCCAATGTAAGTTGTTGTTGTGTTTACTTAAGTTATTTTTTAATCATATAAGTTGTTAGTTAGATTTGTTTTTTTTTCCCCTTCTAGGTGAAGTATCATGCTGAGTTTGAAAAAGCAAAAGGCAAGTTCACACAGGTTGCAGATGACCCAGAAACACTGAGGATCAAGCAGAATTCAAAGATCATAAGGTACCATTTTTGTTTTTGTTTTTTGTTTTAAGAAAATTGTTTTCTCTTATAGTTTGATCCATTAAAATATTCTTATCTTGAGGATACCTGTAATTTTAACATTTAAACTTTTCTAGCAATGTTGCATACCATGGAGACTTGGAGAAAAAGGCAGTAATGGAGCAAAAGAGGGTCTTAACAGGGGAAAATGGAGACACGCCAATCGGTGAGAGCATAAAATTTTTCTGTTTCTATTTCTGAACCACTTAGACTCGTTTTTTAAGAGTGATACACATGTGAAGTCTTATCTATGTGTTCTTTCAAAACTTGTTGCAATGTATTTCATAAGTGTTGTCTCTTTTTGGCCAACTAGTGGATGGAAGGCTGGAGCCAAGTTTATGTGTCGGTGGTTAGGTGGGTGGGTGTGTGTACTTGATTTCACATGCTTTGTGTTCAGTGTTATTTTTGCAGCATAACAGCTCACAGCATTTTTAGATATGTGGTTGGTGCATGTGTTTATGCAAGCTTTGCTTTACTTCTAAACTTAAGTATGGATGTAGAATTCTTGGCCTCCTTTTGAATTTGTGAAATCAAAATTATTCTGAGCCAATTGTGCATCCATTCACTGCAGTAAAAATGTGGTTTCATTCTTGGTTGATTTTATTTGTGCTGCAGAGAATTTTTTGCATACAGTTTATTTTATTACCTTAAAAATGAGAGTAGGAAGAAAATATTCAGCAATTTGTTCTTGTTTTCTAGTGTGTGATGTTTGCTATTTTTTATTTGCTGTCCTATGATTTTTTTTTAAAAATCAGCCTTAGTTTTTCTGTGTTTTAATGGTTGCTTCTGTGTTGTGCGCTTCATACAGATGATGCTGCAGGCTCAGTTGCTGAATATTCTAACCATGCCAATCATCGTGAAGAACCTGCTGTTTCACATCCACACTACACACAACCACCAGTTCAACAGCCTATTTACCATCCTCCCCCTCCATCACAACCCGCTCAACATGTCACACAGATGAGCAGTGGGTATGGTCATGTGCCAGCTCCTCATCAGCCTGGCAAAATAGCTGATTATGATCCATTAAGTGGTGCACCTCGCAACTCCCCTTATTCTGCCCGACAAGCTTCAACTCTCATCTATTCCTCAGGCCGTGGTGCAGGTATTAAAGTTCATGATACTTTGTTTTTCCATTTTCATGTTTTTGTGCTATTTGTGGCTTTTGCTTTGTCACTGGGTATCAACACCCCAAACTTAATAGTGTTAGATTGGTTTAAGATTGGTTTGCCTTATCAGACTTTTTTCCCATCTTTTTCAGTAACAGCCCAACCTGGTCGACGTATTGGTTCCATTGCCGATCTAGATCCAGTTAATGATTTTTATGGATCAATTGCTACTGATTATAGATCTAGCAATAACAATTCAAACCATAACAATAACCATGCAGCAGCCAGTGGTTACCCTCAGAATCGGCACCAGTCCTCTGCCCCTGTGCACCAGCAGTACCCAGTACAAGCGCCTCCACAGCAGTATCAACCTCCTCCAAGTCGCTCTGGGGTAAGTACCTCTTTTTTTGTTGTAAATGCCCTATAGTCTACACCTCTTTTGTTCAAATCTTGCATTTAAATGTTTTTTTTTAATTTTCAGAGAGTCTACCGCGCAATGTATGATTATGAAGCTCAAGATCGCGACGAAGTTTCTTTCCGTGATGGCGATATGATTGTAAATTGCACTCCGATTGATGAGGGCTGGATGACTGGTGTTGTACAACGCACGGGGCAGAGTGGCATGCTTCCTGCCAATTATGTGGAAGTGGCTCATTTGTAGAGTGGCATAAGTTCAGTATTCAAAGAGTCAAAGAGTTGCCAGTCATAACTTGTCTATCACACATACGGTGAAATGTACACCTCCACCCTCCTGGCGTCCCCCCCCCCTTCCCCCCCTCCTAAAAAAAATTCCCTTTCAGGGGTCATAATCTTTGCTCATTAGATGTACCTCAAATGAGATTACATGTTAAGGTTTCTGGTTATCATGCAGTGTTTCATTCATTAGTTTCATGTATTCTATTGACAACAGCTTTGTCATCTTCTGTGGTCGGTCATTCCCAGCCAGAAGTCCCTGTGTTCATAATCTTGATTAACCTGAATTGGGTATCCACTCAATGGTAATAATGGGTCGATCAGCATTATCAACATTGGATTTCAGGCTTTCTTTGGCAACGATTACTATGTTGCTAAATTTGTATCGACACTTATTTTCCAATCATTATTATTATTAATTGTGTTCTGTACTATCATGAATAGTTGAGTTTTTAAATTTTTTTAAAAATATTTTCATGTTACCATTGTTTACCTCATACTCTCGGTGCCTTATGCTTTTGAATTGTTTTCAATATCTATCTGTTGTTGTTTTGAACAGTTTTGGGGCAGTTTTTAAACATTTTGTTCTTTTAGTACTTTGTACCATCCTGACCTTCAATGAACCTTTTGACCATCTTTTCTAGAGAAGAGTTGTTTGAAGGATTTTTGTTTGATTTTCTTTACCAAATTTTAGTCTCGGTTCATTTTTAAATTAGAGACTTAATGTGTTTTTAGATGGTTTTATCAGGTTTTGTATATTTCACATCAGTCACTGTTATTTGATTTATTGATTTATTTCATTATACATAATTTTGTGTGAATGTGATTGTTTACTAAGAATGAATTTGAAGCTTAGAAATGAATTGACTGGTATGTGTCACGAACAGAGAAAGTGGAATATTTATTGAAAGTGTGTGGTGAAGCGCAGCCTATGCTTCACTTTATTTGACCTTGTCTACAAATTGCTGCTTGCGATTTTATCCACAAAAAAAATCTGTTCCCAGATATTTTGCTTTTTCAGTATGTCTTCTGGCAGCTGTTTCTTGTTATGAGATTTTGAGTGTGCTTGTCTTCATTGATGTAGCACAATGAAGTTGGCACCAATAGCAGTAGCATGTGTGCTTTTTTGCTTTCTCTTATTTTAACTCAGGCATCAGGTTCAGGGGACAAAAAAAAATCCATTCCTTGTCAGAATTGCAAAGCACCACATAACTTGTTTTTATCTTAATGTTGTTCACTGTTAGAGTGCTGTGAGTGCTCCATTCACCCTCGTGATTAGGATTGAGCATTGATAACACTCTCTGAGTGATGAGAGATTTATGGTTCATTGTTAGACACTGTCTGAGACTACTATAAAGTGCATGACATTTTCAGTATTAGATATTTGGGACTTGTTAAATCACAAATGAAATAGATAGCACTCAAACTCTGTACAGTTAGCATGCAAGTATTGACCTTTCAATATCTTTGTGAATTAAGACTTTGAAGGTTTTGTCTCATGTTGTCATATGTTGCAAGTTAAAGTTGTTTCAATCCAGTTATTGGACTCAATTTAAATTTCATGTTAGTCAATAGCTTTAAGGAAGAAAATAAAACAGGATCAAAGCATGATTCTCTCATTATGTTAAATAGAATTGTAGTTATGTACAGAGTACAGGGTGTTTTTGTACAGATGACTCTTGCCATTCTAAAGATCTGTTGTCTATCAAGTACAATTGATGTTGATATGTGTTAGATTGCAAGTAACTTTAACAGTGTTGATGTTTCTTGTATATGTTTTTACTGGAATGGAACAATCCTGCATATATTATTGTTATACTATAATCAGATTTTTGAAGTTTTCTGAATCACATATATTTATGAGCAGGTCCGTTAATAAGGTTGGGAGAATGCTGTTTCTCCAACCGTGTTGTAAATAATGACCGTATTGTGCTTTGTCACATGTTCTTTTAATTGTTCTCTCTAAAGTATGAGTATTCATTGATTAGCAAATTCTGGATGTTTTCCTCAATGCTCAGTTTTATCTCTTGTAAAACTAATGAAAATAAATGTTAAATTAAACAAACAATTAGTTTAATCATTGAAATTACAACAGTTATCTTTATAAATACATTAACTTTCTGTCTCTCTAGTTTTTCTTTTCTTCTTTTTAGGCTTTTTTTCTAAATGTGTATTTAATTCATCTTGTTTGTTCATTTCCTCCTCTTTAAATTTTCTTTTGTCCTTTTTCTGAATAGTTTCTGATGCTGCATCTTCATCACGATTCAAACTAATCTCAGCTATGTCTTCAGCCATTTCATGTCTCTTTTTCTTTTTACTCTTCTTGAACTTCTTGGTCTCACATACCCCATCATTGCTTTGCTCGATTCCCTCTACACCATCACATTCGTCGCATTCGGACTTTCTCTTCTTCTTTTTCTTCTTCTTTACTATAGTTTCATCACCAACACATGTTTCAGCTAATTCTTCACAAACGCTTTCAGTTTTGGATTTTTTCTTCTTTTTAGATTTGTTTTTTTCAAATGATTCACCTTCCTCTCTCAACTCTCTACCTACTGTTGTCTTGGGTTCCTTATACTGATTTTGTTGGAAGGCCTTAAGAAGAGCCTCCTCTTGTTCCCTCACTCTCTGTAGTTTACCGCTCAATGTCAGTCCGTGTCTGGCACCTCTGTAAAGAGAACCGAAAGGAATGAATGACACCTTCAGTATGGTTTAACTTGAAGTAAGTGACCAGACCAGTAACCAACTCACTTGTGAGCTGTGCGACCACCACATGCCTGGAACAGTTGCTCATCACTGAGTATTGCTGGCAACACCATTGGTAATTTATGGGAGGAAGTGTCTATTTCCATTTCTGGTGTCACACCTCCTTTAGTGAGCGTTTCCCGCTGTGATTATTGGAAGTCATGATTATTATAATGAAAAAAATTAGTGAGACCTAAAGAGAAACTCATTTAGACATAAATTTCAATACCTTTATAAAGCTACCATATTTAGCTTTATCACGGTTAATTTTAGACCTCTTGACTGCAGAAACTTGAACAGCATCTTCATCCACAATGTTCATCTTGGTGCCATCCTGGGAAGCAATGCAGAATTTTTAAGAAATAATTTTCAATTTGACAATTCAAATCTACCAGGCTCATACTCTTACCTTTGTTGTCTCGACATTTACATTGCGTGCAGCTTCGTTGAATGCATCTTCCCACCATCGATATGTAAATGTTTGAGCAGAGTCATGACCCAAGCCAAATACATTTAACTTAACTTTTGGCTTCAGGGCTGTTGTGATTCCAGTAGAATCTTTACCTAATCCTTGTCCTGTAAAAAACGAAACGAGAAACAGGTAATGACACAGGTTATGTTTACGTTGAGTCAAAGACGAAGTTCCATTAGGAGCAGGTCTCCACATTACCTTCGCTCCAGCCGTACTTCTCCAGAACGCGTTTCGCAAAATCCATTGCCACTGTGCTGTAGGGTAAGCCTTCGAACAGACACAGATACTTGTTTGTTAAAACCCGTCAAAACAACCACATGGTAAAGAGTCGGAGAGTGTGAATAACGGAGAGATGGGGAGGGGGAAAGCATCGTCTGCTATGCTACTGCAAATAGTGAGCGGTGACGTAGCAGCAGCCGGCTGTTGACGTCACGTCAAGCGTCAAATACGATACGAACCTGTTGGAGTGTTTGTCTCTAGCTGTTACTGGCCCGCTGCTAGTGAGCCGCTGAAGTCTCAACGTGGTAGTGGTCTCCTCTAGGAACGCAAACATGTTTTCTCTCAAGTCTCGGGGTGTGGTCCAGGTGACGGTAAACATGGCATCTAAGGGATTTATACAGAATGCCACCCTCGGTAAGTGTTTCTGCTGTTTTATGTGTCTGTTTTTTATGGGTCTGAAGAAATGGATTTTATAGTACCTAGTTAGCAACAGTTCAAGGTTACAACATGACTTCTGTGCTTTTTGAAGACTGTACTTATTTGTGCTTTACCCTATTGTTCACATGAAGTATGACCCCTTTTTTTCACTTTCAGATTTTCAGCGGTCCTTTAGCAAAATTGGATTTATTGGGCTGGGCAACATGGGCAACCCTATGGTTAAAAATTTAATGAAGAAGGTGTGTATAAATTGTATTACAAACAGAAAATTTTTAGACGTTCGACATTTATTTTTCATTATAAAATATTAGAAGCCATCCACAGACATTATCTGTGCAATTTCTTACATTAGATTAAAGTTTTCATTTATTGCATGCTATTTTGTTTCCCTAGGGCCACAAAGTTGCTGTTTATGACATCAAAAAAGACAGTGTCGCTGACCTGGCCAAGGCGGGTGCCACTGGATGCGGCAGTGTTGCTGAAGCAGTAGATGGTGCTGATGCAGTTGTCACTATGCTTCCTGCAAGCAAACATGTGCTGGATACCTACACTAGGAAGGGTGGCATTCTTGAGTAAGACTTGCTAAATTTATTGCTTTTGTGTATGCATTTAAGTATGTCTGACCAAACAATTTCTATTGCTGCAGAATTAGTACTTGAAGTAAATTTACTTTATTTATTTTCCCCTGTTTGAGTGATCTACCTACCAGCTCAGCTGTCACTCTCTTCATTGTTCACTTGTGAAGTGTTGTAATGGCAGAGCAGAATCCCCTTATCTGTTCTGTCAAGGTTCATATGAGACCATGGTTTATCTCTTATCAGGCCTTGTCCATATATGCTTTTGTACTTTTTGGAAGACTCAGTCAGCTTAGCCTTTTAGTCTTAAAGATTTTTTAAATTAAAAAACTTTTTTTTCTTTAAAATAATGTATAAATTATGTGACTGCTCATTATTTTTATCTCTCTTTTTTTAAATTTTTGGTAAAGAAAGTCATTTACAATTTTTCACTGAAGATGAAGGATCATTTATAAATTGTCACAACTCCCATAGATCTCTTCCCAAAAATTCATTTTATTTTTTACAGATCAGTGAAGAAGGGTGCTTACCTTGTAGACAGCAGCACTGTGGACCCCAGTGTATCTCAAACCTTAGCACCCCTGGCCAAAGAGAAAGGAGCCACCTATCTTGATGGACCGGTGTCTGGCGGAACCATTGGAGCCGAGGCAGGCACTCTGACTTTCATGATTGGTGGTGAGGAAGACGCCAGCAAGAAGGTGGAACCTTTACTATTGTGCATGGGTGGCCGAGTTGTCTACTGTGGGTCACACGGTATGGGTCTGGTGGCCAAGATTGCTAACAACATGCTCCTGGGAATCTCCATGCTGGGTGTATCTGAAGCCATGAATTTGGGAATTAAGTAAGGCATCCTCTTACATTTGAAAATTTTCAAAATTTGATGAGTCTCTGTGAAACTGCCCTCACATGCATACTCTCTAATTCTCTACAGATTAGGAATGGACCCTAAAACCCTGATGAGCATTTTGAACACATCCACTGGCCGCTGCTGGTCTTCTGAAATGTACAACCCAGTTCCTGGCATGCTCCCTAATGTGCCAAGCTCAAATGGTTACAAGGTAAAAAGAGAAAAATTGACCCAAGATCTTTTTCTTTACTTTTTAATCAGGGGACCATTTTTATTAAAAATGATTATTTTTTTTCAGGGTGGCTTTGGAGTTGCCCTGATAGCCAAGGATTTAGGTATCGCACAGAGTGTTGCTACCCAGTCTGGAATCGCAATTCCCATGGGTGCCCAAGCTCACCAGATGTACAGAATGATGGAGATCAAGAAACTAGGTGATAAGGATCTTGCAGTTGCATACAAATATTTGCAAGGAGAATCTGTCTAGATGGTCTTTAGAAGAACAAGCAAATCTATCAACAGATCTGTTGCAAATGACTTTAAACTTTTTGGTTTGTTATCTTTTGAAATATTGTGATAATTTCATAATGTGTACTTATTTTATTTGTGTGGGCCTTATGGTGCAGTGCAACACCTTTGATTGATTGAAAAAACAACAACAACAATGCATTGAATGTTTTATATATTAGCAATTGGTTTCATTGATGGAAAAAATTGTTAGAAAATTATACTTTTATACCTCAAGTTCAAAGATGTGTGCCATATTCATGTGATTCAGTATTTTGTTTGTTAGAAGTTTTTTGTCTCTATGTTCCATTTAATAGAATGTATCTGTGAGGACTGTACTTACCAGAGCTTTAACTCTTTGTTTTCTTGTTAATTTGTTATAAAAATGCACTGCCATGTGTTTTATTTTATTGTATTCGCCAGTGAAATCATTGCACTCATGTCTGTTGACCTTTTTAAAGTGAAAATTAAAATAATGTTTTTTGTGCAGTATTTACTGGTTTCCCTCGCTATGGATTTCCCTCGCAAGTCATATTTCTTCTGTCTGGGCACTGAGTACATACCACACTGCTTTCATTGGAAAAATGATTAAATAACCTGTCACGCGCTCCCCTAAATTATGTCAGAGCTTTATTGGAAGTAAATAAAAAACCTCCGCATTGAAGGAGTGTGTTCAAGGTGTTACGCAGAAAGGTGATTGAGTCTGAAGCTGAGATCAGTCGGCTTTTGAACAGAAAATATGAGTGATGAATCATGATTCATCACTCGTTAAGAGAGATTTAACGTGATTTGGCTTTTCAAAGTAAACGTGCGTATAGTTTTGGGTCATTCTGTCATTTTCATTTACAAATTACAATTATTGAGCTGGAAAATTTGATTTTCGAAGGATGGCAGCGGCTTGCTCTGCGACCGACCGGCTCGCAACGCAACGGCCCGGTCACAAGTGCAGTAACTTTACTTTATTTTTATTTCCGAAGGGACTGTGACAGGAGATATTTCTTGCTTGGTACCAAGTCTGATAACATTCTGCGACTATAATGAGAATTTTTCCCTGAAAAGACCCTTACTCGGGCGTCGCTGAAAATTTAGGTAGGAAAGGTGAGCTATGATCGTCCAATTTACTGTCCGGCTAGCTCGACGTTAACCTTCAATTTTAGCAGTGTCATTGTTTTGTCTCTCTGCAATTCCCGTATTTCTTGATGCTGTAATGTTTCCTTGGCCTTGGTTCGTATTATCTTGTCGTCTCTGAGACGACAGTAGATTTTGCGCTGCGCTCAGCGCCTCGCCCAATATTTCTTTTTACCATGTAAACAATGAAAGCTAATTTTTTTTTCCTAAATATTTTACTTTAAATATTGGTCTTGAGTTGTTTTTGATGGTCTTCCTTCACTTCCTTTGTCGCAAGCTGCATCTGTATCAATAAATTATAAATTAAACGAGAAATTGGGCCACCAGTGTTCATTATTAGTAAACTGTTTCCTTCTATATCTAGTTTTGAATATTAACTTTGCTTTGATTTGCAGGGATTTGTAAAATCTTCAAAATGTCAAAGGTTAAGATTACATTTTCAAACAAACTAACAGAGTCTGATCCCCTTGTAAATCCTGTAATTATAATCGGGAAACTTGAAAATCTGAAACAAGTTTCCTTCAACGTCATCAAAGCAAAATTGGATCCACGTGTGTCTGAGGAGGTAATTATGTTTCAGTTTTAAGGAAGTAAACTTTTGATGTTGCCCTTAAGTTGTATACTTTCTTTGTTTTTGGGTCATTGAAGATTTAATAACCGCTGCAACATGTTTTTTAATACTTTGTATCTGCGTAGGTTTATCAGTCAGCTCTAACATGTATGCAGCCATCCCCCACCGATGTGTGTTCGTTATATCTGAACATGGCAACCCTAGCAGCATTGCCAAGGCGCTGTGCAAGACACAACGCTCCATCACATGCTAATTTCATTACAAAGCTTGTGCGTTCTACATGTTTGGGTGTGGATGAATATGTTGTGGTATGTTGTATTTTCATCTGTGTCCTTGACTTCTTATTACCTAGTTTATACTGCAATTTTACTCTTATTTTTGGCTTTACAGATTGTGTGTGAAAGACAGGATGTTCTCGCATCTGCCTGTGCTGTGGCCCGAGCATACCCAATATATTCACGCAAAACTTTAAAACCAACAAGCACACCCAATGGTACTGCTGGGGCTGCTTGTACAGCAACATCAGCCACAGTCAGAGTAGAATTTATACTTGTTGATGGTGGTAAAGGAGAAAATGTGCAGCCGTTGTCAGATGGTGACCTTCTCTCTCTTGAAGAAATTTGTGCTAGTGTCCGAACTGTGGCTCGAATTGTAGATACTCCTTGCAGTGAGATGAATGTGAAAGACTTCACAAATGTAAGAAACATCTCAACCTCTTCTTTTCTTGTCACAATGACTCTCCCAAAAGTATCTTAATTTTACTGTTATTTACCTAAATGAAGATCTTAATTGCAGGAAATTGAACAAGTGGCTGCTGAACTTGGTGTTGCTTGCACTGTTATTGTGGGGGAAGAACTCCAAGAAAAAGGATTTGGGGGTATTTACGGCGTTGGCAAAGTAAGTCTTCTGAATGCTGGTGTTTCTTCAATGTGTCAGTCATTTCTTATAACCATCTTGTCCTCCTTCTAGGCAGCTATTGTACCCCCTGCACTAGTCACTCTGTCCTATACTCCTCCTAATGCAACTCAGACTATTGCCTGGGTAGGCAAAGGCATTGTGTATGATACTGGTGGTCTTAGCATCAAAGGCAAGGTGAGAAAACTGTGGTTTCATATCAGTGTCGAGCTACCCTTGAGAATTGTGCATAACAATTTGGTACATTTTGCAGACTGCCATGCCTGGAATGAAACGTGATTGTGGTGGAGCTGCAGCAGTATTGGGGGCTTTCCGCGCTGCTGTTAAATTAGGGTTTTCAGAAAACCTCCACGCTGTATTTTGTCTAGCAGAAAATGCTGTTGGTCCCAATGCTACTCGACCAGATGATATTTTAACTTTGTATTCTGGCAGGTAATGTTCTCTTCGTTGTTTCTCTCTTTGAATTTTCTCCTTGTTTAGGTGCACTCTTTTTATCCGGCAATTACTGTTGTTTCTAGGACTGTAGAAATCAACAACACTGATGCAGAGGGGAGAGTAGTCCTTGCTGATGGTGTATCATATGCTCAAAAGGACCTCAAGGCTAATATTATTTTGGACATGGCAACTCTGACTGGTGCTCAGGTATGCTCAACACATTAGAATATTTCCAAAATAATAAGGCATTCTTTGCTATAGTTTTGTTTGCCTTTCACTATTTGTTAAAACTTGATGCATGCAGGCTATTGCAACTGGACGATACCATGCTGCTGTCCTTACAAACAGAGAGGAATGGGAAGAATACTGCCTGCAAGCCGGCAGGACAAGTGGTGATTTGACATTCCCAATTCCTTTCTGCCCTGAGCTACATCTGCCAGAATTTTCATCAGCCTTTGCAGACATGAAAAATGCTGTGGCGGTAATTTAATTACTAATTGATTGCATCAATAATTCACATTTTGATTTGAACTAATTTAATTTATTTTCTGTAGGACCGTGGCAATGCTCAATCATCTTGTGCCGGCCTGTTCATTTTTGCACAGCTAGGAGTTGATTTCCCTGGTGCTTGGATTCACGTTGATATGGCTAGCCCATGTCACTGTGTAAGTTATAGTCTACATCACTCTTTGTGCTGTTTCCTCTAAAGGTGCAGATTTATATGTTTTTGCATGCACTAATGTTCCTAATCAGGACCTTTGTTGCAGGGTGAAAGAGCTACTGGATATGGAGTGGCTCTGTTAGTCACATTGTTTGGAAATTATTCTTCACAGCCACTTCTACAGAACATGTCATCTCTGGCTTTTGATGAGGTGTTTGATAAGTTTGAAACTTGTAAGAAATTCAAACGCAACTAGCAATGGAAACTAATTCAAAGACACAGGAAAGTTTGTTTCTTGTATATAGTATCTGAGATAAGAGTTTTTAACCAGAATTAATTTGAATCAATTTTGTTGTACATGTTGTATTGTATACCCTGCTATAAAATATATTCATTATAATCCAGGCAAAGACAAAAAAAAAGAGAGAGCCATGATAATAATATAATTTGTTTTTAACAATGCAATGTTATTTTATTTACATTTGACTTAGCACTTTTAGGCAAGATATTATTTGATTGGTCACTGAAAATTAGGAATGAGTTAAAATCAGACAAATGTTGGCACACCAGCTGGATTGATGATAATAAGAGCCTTCCCATACCAGGAATGTGGGTTTATGAACTATTAAAAAATATCACAGTAAAAAGTAAGTTTGTTCGGTGAGAAGGCCCTTTGAGGTCTTGAAAGATGTCACTCAACCACAGAAAACATCTGATCAGTGTACAGCATATTAATAGCTCCAGCCTCAAATTTTGATTTATAAACAATTATAAGTCTTCATGGTGGGCCTTGGCCCCTCTGCATAAATTTGCAACATCTTGGCACAGTTTTGACTCAATGGATGTCTCCTTTTTTTGAAACAGCTCCACAATGTTTTCCTCATACTCTTCAACAATTCCATCACACTGCAAACAATGATTTGAAAATTGGTATGAATATGAAGGTAAGTAGACACTTACATCAGAAATAGTGGGGCTTGGACTTACATAATACTTCAGGCTCTTATTCAAATCCCCATCTTGAATTATATCCACATCAGACATAACTGGGTTCATTTTTCCATCAATTATTAGTTTCATCAAAATTAATTCACCAGTGTCTTTCCTGGTTGCCCGGACATAGTCATCAATACCTTTGCATACAACTTCTAAGGAGTCACTTATCTGCATTTCAGACAAAGCATAGGGAATCTGTAAAGGGAAGTCACAAATTAGAGTCCGTCACCAACTATCAGAAAGATGAAGAAAGTTTTGAAATTGCTTACCAAGTTTTGTTTGGAATTTCCCTCTGCATCTAGTCTGTAATTTCCTACTTCAACTTTCTTCTTAGGGTCAATTTTATTTATTTCAATTTGAAGATCTTGAACAATTTGCTCACAAACTGGAATTGGATTGATCAAGAGAATTAAACAACCCTTCATTACTAGAAAAAAATTAAAGAACAGTCAACCTTTTTGAGATTTTTTTGTTAAATCACTTACTAAGGCATCGCAGGTTGGATAGATTATTGGATGAATAAATACTATGGGGAAGAAGAACAGCTACAAAGCCCAGAAGAGCAAGGGAATAAATGGCCCTGAAAGAGAGACAGAAGAACACTGTTATATAACAAAGGCCATTTTATGTTTAGAAAAGTGCACGCACAAAAAACAGATTATGTTTATTATTTTTTATGGGTCAACAAGTAGAGTAACCTCCTTGACAGGTCTCTTTCTCTTTGACAGTAGATGTTAAAAAAAAACAAACAGTAAAAGTAACAAACAATATCTGAAATATACCAACATGTTGAACGCGGAAGCAAGAGACGACACACACGCTAGTGAGCAGGGAAAACACCTTTTGATGGTAAGCTGACGGTACCGGTATCAGCTGTACACGTTTCACGTCTGCGATTGGTTTAAAAATCCGGGTACTTTTTCTTCTTTCTTTTTTGTTCTGACTCTTCGTAACAGCGCCTTCTTGAAACGGAAACAAAGGCTTCGACAGGTCGAACGAGAACGAACCGTTCCCCGCCCGACAGCACCACCGCCACCACGGGTCGGCCGGAAACACTTCTCACATCCTTTCTTTAGTCTACCCAACAAAATGTCGAAGCGAGGTGGGTGCTCTTGATTCCGAAATATCCAAATTCATCGACTACAATTCTAGGCCCTTAGTTCCAAATCCTCTTAACTCTTCGCCGTAAACGGTTTTCTTCTTGTTAATTTGCGATGCGTCGCCGAAATTTGATGATGAGAGAAGATGTGTTGTGCCCGCGGCGCGTTGCCCGGGCTCCCACGTCGTGCGTCGTTGTCACTGTATTTATGTTCCCTTTGTCTTGATTTTCAGGACGCGGAGGTTCCTCGGGAGCCAAGTTCAGGATCTCCCTTGGTCTCCCCGTCGGTGCGGTCATCAACTGCGCTGACAATACTGGTGAGTTTGATTGGTGCCATTTCTAACCTGTTCAACACGGCGGGCTTCGTGGCCGGCTTTGCTTGTGTGTGTCCGCCTCACAGGCTTGTACACACGGCCGAGCCTTCTGAGGCTGAAGCAAAGTTTCTAGTGCATTCGTCGGGTTTGCGTGTCAAGCTTAGTTTTCCCTTCGGTCTGAGTTATGGGACGGTTGTGGAGTTTGTTTTTGCCAGACACTGTTTGTCTGTGAATTGGTTAAGTGGCCCTATCTTCTGTAAGAGTTGTCATTTAGTATTTTCTCACTCGGCCAATGATTGAGCTTAAAACACATTTCCTTCACCAATCTGCATGTTCAATCAGTTTCATTCTCTCCAGTCACTCATGTGTTGTCTATTCTACAGGAGCCAAGAACTTGTACGTTATTGCTGTCCATGGCATCGGCGGTCGTCTCAACCGTCTGCCCGCTGCTGGGTCGGGTGACATGATTGTTGCCACTGTTAAGAAGGGAAAGCCTGAACTCAGGAAGAAGGGTGAGTTTTTTCTTCTTTTGGATCCTGAAGTAGCATGTTGTTATGTGTCTCTAACTTCTCTTCTTTTATTTCAGTAATGCCAGCAGTGGTCATCCGGCAGAGGAAACCGTTCCGCAGGAAGGATGGTACTTTCCTATACTTTGAAGACAACGCGGGGGTGATAGTAAACAACAAAGGAGAAATGAAAGGTAAGTTTTTTCTGGGTTCAAGTTGGTGCATGTCAATGCAAGCTTAACCCTAGGCAAAGCATCTTATCTTGCACCATAGACTAAACTTATGTACTTATTGCCAAAGTTTCCTGCGAATTCTTGCCATCATGGTTGAGGAGGCTATGCGCCTGCATCTTACGCCTGTTCATTCAAGATTATTTCTAAGAACTCTGTTCAGTTATTTACCCTGAGATAGATTGGGCCCTGTGATGATTTTTGAACCGTGTTTCACCTGAAACTCATGATTTCAAACTCAACTTCCTGAGGGATTTCGTTGCTATCAAACATTCTTCCTTATATAGAATGTCTTGTTTCTGTTATTATAGTTATTCTTTGGATTGCCTGAAACTTGAGCCAACTATCCCAAGGGGTTTCATTTCAATTTGTCTGAAATGTGAAAGTTCGAATGCATGTCTTGTTGTAATCCTGTGATGATTTATTTTATCCGTGTTTCACCTGAAACTCATGATTTTAACCTGGACTTCCTGAGGGATTAAATTTAGTGGTGTGAAATGTTGTCCTTCCATCTTATGCCTGTTATTTCTTGATCATTGCTAAGTATTTTCTCCCATGTTGATGGGACCCTTTGATGATTTTTGAACCGTGTTTCACCTGAAACTCATGATTTCACTCTGGACTTCCTGAGGGATGCTTCTAGCAATGTTCTGATTCACTTCAGGTATCTGCAGGATTTGGTTCAGTCTGTACCCTGCTCGTAAAATGAGTGAGACATTAATTCAAAAAATAGTTCGTTCTTGAATCCTTATTTCAAAGGACGTGGTTATCTTTCTGGTACAAACTTCATGCTTTTTAATTGAAAATTATTGCCTAGAATATGTTCCCAAGTATTTATCCCAAGGTAGATGGTGCCCTTTGATGATTTTTGAACCGTGTTTCACCTGAAACTCATGATTTCAATCTCAACTTCCTGAGGGATTCTTGTGATAATGTTGTGTTATGCACTTCAGGTATCTGCAGGGTTTGGTTTAGTCCTTATCCTGCTCGTAAAATGAGTGCGACATCAATTCGAATCATAGTTGGTTCTTGAATTATTATTTCCAAGGACATGGTAAAATTTCTGATACAAACTTCAATTGATGTCTCTGTGCTAGTCTGCTCATTGTATTTTACGCACTTCTGGTATCTGCAGGTTTTGTTCCTCTTCATTTCCTGCTCGATGTACGGGTGCAAGATCAATCTCCAGTGCATAGTTGGTTCTTGCAATTTTTTTCCAAGAACCTGGTATAATCTGGTACAATCCACCTGCTCAGTAGAACTCGTCTACAAACTATGAACTTAAACTCTTGTGTTCCATTTAAGGTCATTGTGACAGTTAATGAAGTTTCCATAAATTGTCGGCATCTGCTGGTTTTGACTGCTTGTTTAAAAGGTGCTAAATTAATCTCCAGGCACAGTTGGTTTTTTACTTTCTAAGATCATGAAATGAAACTGGAACTTGATTTGTTTTGTTTGTAACTCCTTGATTGCTCCTCCTCTTGCAGCTGGGCTGGGGCTCTCTTTAATTTGTTTGATCATGTGTTGCAGGAAGTGCTATTACTGGACCCGTTGCCAAGGAATGCGCAGATCTCTGGCCTAGGATCGCCTCCAACGCCTCCAGTATTGCTTAATTCTTTGTTACTCCCCATTCTTCAATAAACAAAAAAAAAAATCCAACCTGGTTTGACTTTCTTCAAATTATAACCTTCTCATTTCATCAGAAATCATCTTTAGGGTATAGCCCATGGCTCCCAATAGCTATTTTAAATCAAGTTTTCATTTTCACACTGTTTCTTATGAGAAGCTGTCCCTTCGGCTGTGCTATGCACGCTTAAAAAAAAGTTAAAGACGCAATAAATCTCATTGGGCGAGCCATTAGATCAGAACACATACATGCTATAATTAAGGATCGACCATGGAAAAGTCGTCGGGGGGCCCTGCGGTAGCCTTGTACCAATGCCCACCCTAAGAAAGCACTTGGGTTCGGGTTCGACCCCTAGACGTGACAATGCTCTGAAGTCTGGTTTTGCACTTCTTCCCTTTGACGTGCCAAAGGGGTGGCCTACGTTCCCGGCGCTACGCTACGAGACCTCGCGTTGAATGGGTGGCCTACCTTCAAGGCGCCGAGGCCTCCATGGCGCAAGACACTTCTCCTTACAGGCTTGACCCATAGCCTCGCCTTGAGCTAGTTCTAAACACGTGCATGACAAATCTCGAATACGTTGCAGTAGGCGTGGAGTTTATAGGCCACTGCTCGCGAGAAGGATATTCAATGCAAGCGTGTAATGTATACTTTGCCACGAACGCCGGTGAGGTAGGCTACCCAACCACCACGCTGTGTGCAGAAGGCCGAGCGCCGAAAGTATAGGCAACACGCATCCCAGATGACATCCTAAGAGACGACAGCACAAAAGGCTGAAATTGAGAAACTCGGTCACGAAACCATTTTGCCTCCGGGTCCTGATATCCTACGCATTTACTAACTGAATGTGAATCCTGATGGGTCGAGCCTGTAAGGAGAAGTGTTCAGCGCCCTGAACGCCTAGCGCTGCGAGCCACCGAGACATTCAAGAGTGGCTGACCGTAGGCAAGGTACCAACTCGGGTACTACCAAACAGTTTGATCCGCCGATAAGTAGGCAACACGTGCAACAAGGCCCCCTGAATGCAAACCCTGCATGGGTACGCGCTTGTCTGAGTCTGCAGACACAGCAGCTGTCATGTCTCTCGGGGTGTCCGTGTCGGTCGGCACACTGTCGGGGCAAGCCGGCAAGCCAGCAAGCGGAGCAATGGGCCGGAAAACGATTCTGCTTTAATCCGCTGCTCTTTTCTGCAATCGCAGCGAGGCTGGGCGAGGCGCGCGGCTGCATCGCCCGCGCACAGTGGGCGGGTGGAGGCGGCCAAAACTCGAGGCGCGTTTTGAGCTCCAGAGTCGCTAAGCAGGACTCGAACCGAACATGTGACCCCACCAATGGATTGCTCTCTGAACGAGGAATCCATAGGTGGGGTCACACGTTCGGCTCGAGTCCTCCACCGGTCTTCTGGCCCACTGTATGGTCTCGCCCTCGGTCTCGCCCGCACCCTGCATTGGCCTCCTCCTCCTCGACCTGTGGGCCTTTGGCTGCTTTACACTGCCTTTCCTTTGACCAGGGGCAGTTCTGATCGGAGTTACAACTGTTCCGCTGGTTGCTCGAGGCCACACACATTCCCGCAGAGCGAACCGCTGCACAGAGCAACGAACAAGTCGGCCTTTTTCGCCAGGGCTGATGAGGCGACGTTTATTGGCGGATTGAACTCTGGCCGGTGCCTAAACTGAGTCGCAGCACCGCAAACGTTCCAGGGAATGTTTATTCCAGTTTGGGGCGAAAGAAAGCGTCCCGCAATAATGGCGGGGAGGGGGCATCATCGAATCAAAACTGTGCTGAAAACAAAAACGAATAATGACGCTGGTAATAATAGAAGAACTCGACTGCACCCGAATCTGGCGTTGTTTACCCCCGCGGCGCAGCGCAGATTGCCTCGCGTTCTACAACCACTATCCGTATCCGCGTCCATTCGAGGAGCCGCGGACCGAGCCCGAGAGCCCTTTTCTGTCTCTCTCCCACTCACGGGGCGTTCCGTGTGGGTGCGAGAGAGACAGAGCGACGGAGACGACTCTCCCTCCGAATCAGTCTGGGTCCGGGTGGGATGGGTGCGGATGGCGGGGACTCGGGACCACCCTCCTCGCGACAATGCAGCCGCCCCACCCCTTGCCCGCCAGCCCCGCCAGCCCGGCCGCCATTGGCCAACGGGCCGCCGTGAGCGCGCGAGCCGAGCGCTCCAGCGTCGCTCCCTCGTCGCCCTGTCCCTCTCGCACCCCTGCGAACGGCTCCACGAGTGCGAGAGAGACACGAAGGCACCGACAGGAACGACGAGACCGCAAGGCATCCTGCAGGATGCATAATAAGGCTAAATCAGGCCGGATTAGGATTATCCGTTTCATGGGCAGGATAACCAGCGCTAACCCGCGCGGCGCGGAGCAGCGACCCGCGAGGAGGGACTGTCCGTAGGGGACGTGCTGGGGGGGGCCGTCCGTAGCGTGCCTACCAGTGGCAGAGACTTGCAGCTTTAGAGTCGCGTCAAGTTTTCACCCGATAACTAACCCCGCAAGCTGACGAAGTCTGTCCGTTGGGATGTCGAGAAGCCGATTGGCCGTCTCTGCTTCGGGCCTTCGATGATATACGAGTCAGTCAAATTATTGAAGACTCGGCGATGTCGCAACCGGTCCCAGCGACGACGCCTTTGGGTTAGAGAGGCACTCAGAGTCTCGCCTGCAGGTTGGGCAACACTCCGCACAGTGGGCCAGAAGACCGGTTGAGGTGGCTAAAATTCTAGACGCGTTTTGAGCTCTAGACCGAATCAACCCCACCAATGAATTGCCCTCCGAACGAGGAATCCATTGGTGGGGTCACACGTTCGGTTCGGGTCCCATTTAGCGAATCGAGCTCAAAACCCGTCCGGGATTTTGACCGCCTCCACCGGTCTTCGGGCCCACTGTGCACCGCCTGCCTCCGTTTCGGGATTAGGAGCGCTCGCCATGGCTTGCAAGATCCGACTGCGGCAATTCTATTTTTCTTGTCGAGTCACACATCGCATTACCGGGCCACCCAACCCTCGGCGATCGCCCCATTTGAATATCGTGGAACTAATCCGGACGGTTTGCAAGTGACATGGCCGCCAGCCAGCCTGTCACCGACACCGCGTCGCAGCGTCGCACTGAGCACGCAAACAAATAGAGTCAGGCATTCATTTGCTTGTAATCCTCGCCGGCCATAGTCCTGCCTGCCTTGCCTTATCCCTTTCGCTGTTGATGGAATCTCCCAATCACGCTCTTATCGTCATCAACATCACCATCATCGTCATCACCAGCATTGTCACCAACACCACCGGCACCATCATCATCACCAGCATTGTCACCAACACCAACACCACCATCATCATCACCAGCATTGTCACCAACACCACCAGCACCATCACCATCACCAGCATTGTCACCAACACCACCGGCACCATCTCCGCAGCGGCGGCAGCAGCACCATCATCACGATAGTCATCATCAAATGGCCACCTCGGTCGAGACGATATGACAATGACGATGATGTTGACGAGGACGACGACGACGATGGTAAAAATGATGACCTTCGATCGGCACTCCATTACCCACAGCCCCCCGAGAGCTTCTTCCGGATAATCACTTGATCGCGACGGCCGAGCCTGGCCGAGCCTGGCCGAGCACGCCCAAGTGTGAAGTTGATATTTTGACGTATCGATGCGGCCCGCTGCGCGCCGCTGCGTCGTGTGCGTCTGTGTGCGTGTCGGCGGCCGTGTAATCCCCCGACAGGCCTTGTGTATCGCTTTACCGGCCGGTGCACATCATCGTGCACATCATCGTGCCGCCGTGAAAACGCCTTTGCAGGCCGTGTAGGCAGGATCAGCGTCGAGGTGGCCTCGGCGTCCGTCCGTCCGTCCGTCCGTCCGTCCGTCCGCGCCGCACGGTCTGCGCCGCGCTCCGGCTCGGCGCGCGTGTGAAATTGTGTGGAGAGCCGATAGTGAATGGAGGATGGAGGGGAGGATTTGCTTAGATCGCTTACAAAGCCCGAAAGAGGTCGTCGCGGTAGGCGCGCTGCTACGCTGCCGCGCCAGCCGAGCCCTGCCGAGCTGCCATCCTGTCCGGCGCGGCCGGGGTGCCAGGGGGTTGGAGCCGCCAGCCCCGCCAGGCCGCGCCCTCGGGGCCAGGGGGCGTGGCACTGCGTGGCACAGCGTGGCGGGGATGGGGATGGCGGGCAGGCCGCACAGTGGGCCAGAAGAGTGGTGGAGGCGGCCGAAACTCTAGACGCGTTTTGAGCTCCAGAGTCGCTAAGCCCAGGACTCGAACCGAGCGTGTGACCCCACCAATGGATTCCTCGTTCGGAGAGCCATCCATTGGTGGGGTCACACGATCGGTTCGCGTCCTGTTTAGCGACTCTGGAGCTCGAAACGCGTCCACGATTTTGGCCGCCTCCACCGGTCTTCTAGCCCACTGTGGGCCGTGGGCCGGCCCGGCCGGGGGTGGTGTGTATACGACGATACGACGCGCTTGGCGTGGCCGCCGCCGACTCCGCCGCCCCGCTGGATCATCTCCGAGGGGGTCGTCGCCAGCGGCAGCAGCGGCAGCAGCGGAGGCGCCTCTTCGCTGCGCGACGCGCGACAACCACAACGCCGCGCAGTGCCTGGCAGTGCCACGCGAGACGGCGCGGCGAGGGAGAGGGGAGGGCCCCGACGCCGTGGCGGCAGGCCACCCGCGCGCGCCCCAGTGCGGCGGGCCAGGCTAGGGCGCGAGGCGCGAGGCGCGGCTAGTGCGCCAGCCTCACGCCTGCTCGCTCACTGCTTCCTTTCTTCCAGGATGGCTTCTCGCTTCTTCTGCTCGTTGTTTTCGGTGTCGCCCTCCTCGGCCCTGGTCCCGTACTAAGCCCCGTCCAGGACGCGGCCAGGACGCAGCCAGGACGCGATCGGACAATGCTAATAAGGCCGTGGGGCCGGGGGGGCCTGCACACGGACGTGTCGTGTTTGCCTTTAACTTAGGCGCGCTGTTGTTTTGTTAGCTGTAATATTTATTGACTATAGCTTCTGTATTTGTCCGTCACTTGTGAGTGCGTGTCGTGTAGCGTTGCTGCGTTGCTGTCCCCTGGCTCTGTCCACCCGAGTGTCTGTCTGTCTGTCTGTCTGTCTGTCTGTCTGTCTGTCTGTCTGTCTGTCTGTCTGTCTGTCTGTCTGTCTGTCTGTCTGTCTGTCTGTCTGTCTGTCCCTCTGCTCGGCCGCGTCGGCGATGAGTCCTTCGGCGTTCGCGCGGTGAACGCGCAGACCGGCAGTGTGTGCACACGACTAGGGATCTCTAGAGATCGGGCGCTCTGGAATTCAATGATGACAACGGCACGTTTTGGCGTCTCCGACTTTTTTGGCATCACGTTCACTGCATTCCGCATCGGTCCATCCCGCCCGCGGCACCCCCAGCTCTTCCAGTTCCAGTACCTCGCGAACAACGTGAGGCACGGTGGGCCAGAAGGACCGGTAGGCGGCCAAAACTAAAGACGCGTTTTGAGCTCCAGAGTCACTAAACAGGACTTCAACTGAGATTCTGATCCCACGAATGGATTCCTCGTTCGGAGAGCAATCCATAGGTGGGGTCACACGTTCGGTTTGAGTCCTGTTTAGCGACTCTGAGCTCAAAACGCGTCTTTAGTTTCGGCCGTCTCCACCGGTCTTCTGGCCCACTGTGCGAGGTCGTGAGAACGAGGCCGCGGCCCGGCTTGGGCACTGGAAGCGTCACGGCTTGAAGGCCGAGGGTCACGAGTGAGTGGCTGAGGAGGGGCCTTGCGTCGCCTTGCGTGGGAGGAGTGCCGGGAGTGTCGCCACGGCCGGGGCGGGCGGTACGGACTGCAAGCTGCAGGCTCCGAGTCTCTCTCTCTCTCTTTCTCACACACCCATAGAGAGGAAGCCCCAAGAGTGATGCGAGAGAGACTCTCGGAATCAGTCTGCTGGCGGCCAGGCGAGGCGACAACTCTGTTTGCCCTCGGCAATGTGCCATGAAATTCTGCCCGCACTGCAGCACCCCCAGGATTTTTGCTGGCCCTCTCCGATGGCGTGGATGTATGCCTCTCTCTCTCTCTCTCTCTCTCTCTCTCTCTCTCTCTCTCTCTCTCTCTCTCTCTCTCTCTCTCTCTCTCTCTCTCTCTCTCTCGTCTCTCTCTCTCTCTCTCTCTCTCCTCTCTCTCTCTCTCTCTCTCTCTCTCTCTCTCTCTCTCTCTCTCTCTCCGGAGAGGAGGATGCGGAGGACCGGGAGTGCGAGGGCCAGGCGGGCCAGGTGCGCCACCACCGTACAAACACACAAGCACACAGGCCCATGGCAAACACCGATTAATTGTTACATAGGCCACTGGCTGGGGATGGAGTTTCCTGCCTCGTCCGCCTAACTCGCACACACACGTACTCACACAGAAACACACACACACACACACACACACACACGACGAAGTGGCCCCTTATTGGGTGCCTCGCGGCTACCTTGATGACGGTCGCGCCATGCATAGCTCCGAGGAAAGCGAGGCAACTTTCGAGGTGGGATGCGTGGCTAGGCGGATCCATCTCCGTCCTCTAGCTAGGCCGTCCTCTAGGCCGTCCTCTAGGCCGTCCTCTAGGCCGTCCTCTAGGCCGTCCTCTAGGCCGTCCTCTAGGCCGTCCTCTAGGCCGTCCTCTAGGCCGTCCTCTATTGGCCGTCCTCTAGGCCGTCCTCTAGGCCGTCCTCTAGGCCGTCCTCTAGGCCGTCCTCTAGGCCGTCCTCTATTGGCCGTCCTCTAGGCCGTCCTCTATTGGCCGTCCTCTAGGCCGTCCTCTAGGCCGTCCTCTAGGCCGTCCTCTAGGCCGTCCTCTAGGCCGTCCTCTAGGCCGTCCTCTAGGCCGTCCTCTAGGCCGTCCTCTAGGCCGTCCTCTAGGCCGTCCTCTATTGGCCGTCCTCTAGGCCGTCCTCTAGGCCGTCCTCTAGGCCGTCCTCTAGGCCGTCCTCTAGGCCGTCCTCTAGATACCCTCTTCCCTAACATACCACGTTACAGTGTCATCACACGAACATGTAACTCTGTCCATTAATTTGTCATCAGCGGGGCGATCGGCACCGCATCGCCGGCACCCTCTCTCGCTCTCCCTCCCCCTCCCCGCGACACCCACCCCATCCACTCGGACCTCTTCTCCGGCTGCGCGGGAGCAGTGCCGGTGTCGGATTGCTACAGGCTGTTCAGGCTGTCGGCGTTAATGGCTTTACGTGGGTAAACACTGGAGCTGGAGGGCGGTGGGCCACGGCGGGCCGCCCTGCACTGTTGCGAAGCTGCTGTCCAGCGTCCTGCAAATTGGCACGCACCTCTTGCCTCTGGCTCGCGATCAACCATGAACAGTACTGGAAGAACAGACAAATCAGGCAACAGGAAATCGACCGGAGCCCCAACCGAAACCCCAAGGCGCCTTGGAGTTCAACTGAGCTCAGTGGGGTCAAACCCAAACCTATTCGGGTCGGGCATCATAGCCGTCGGGGCTCGAACGAGACGAGGCTCTTGTCCTGCATGCCGAAAAACGGAGTCCGACACTCACCGTGATCAGGAACAGCGGGGGGGCGTCGTCGAGGCCCCGTCGAGGCCGCGGGGGCTCAGCGCGTCTCTCTCGCACTCGCGGGGCGTCTCGAGTGGGTGCGAGAGAGACAGGCAGGCTGGTGGCATCCTCGGTCGGTGGCGGTGGCACCCTGTGTGGCACACTGTGTGGCACACGGCCCGGCTAAGCCACCACACTGCTGTGTGCCCTGCCCATTCTGCAGCCGGCCGGTCGTCCCGGCCGTCCAGGGGGTCAAAGGTCCGAGACGCGCCGCAGCAAAGCGGCAAGAAATAAGAAATCAAACACTCCCCATTCGCTACTCGAGTCTTCACTCGGCCACATTACACACGCCCGGCTGTTGCGCTGCGCTCGGCGTGGCGTGGCGCACTCTAAAAAATAATATAGGATTTTGTAACGATTTTGATACAAAATTCTGTAACACGTCAGTGTGATACAAAAATTTGTATCCTTGATCCTAAATTCTGTATCACGGCAAGAATGTTACGAATTTACGAATCAGTGCTTCAGAATTCTAAAACTGATACAAAATTCTGTACTTTTTGTTTCAATATTCACAATCAGTGATACAGTTCCATGTAAAAATGCGATCTTAATGCAAATAACTGTAACTGATACAGAAAACTGTAACATGTTGTTACGAGTTTACATATCGTCTGATGCAAAATTTAATAACGCAAATTTAAGGTCAAATTACGAGCTTAAATTTTTACATCACAGTTGATCGGGCGAAAAGTCCTAACGTAGGGCATGGTACTTAAGAAGCTTCGGGCCAGGAACTCTAACTGTCGCGCCGCAGGACTCGTTTCCCACCACTACCTGGGCATGCGGCGTGCCCGCTCGGTGTGATCGACAGTCTGAGGCGTGCCTCCCCATGCGGCGCTGTGGCGCAAGCGGTAGCATGCCGAGCTGGCAATCCGGGGGACCGGGGTTCGATTCCGGAGAACGCAGTTCGATTTCTCTGGGTGTTCGGGAGTACAGGAGCAACGGAGTGAATGTGTAGAAACGAACGACCGATGAGATTCAAATTTTGTTTTTAAAGCGTCAAATTTTTATGATTTTAGCATTGCAGAATTCTGTAACCGGGAAACAGTTTACCGTAACGCGTGATACAAAATTTTGTATCAGTGTTGATACAAAATTCTGTAACATTTGTAGTGGAAATTACTGCGTAACCATGTTACAGAATTTTGTATTGAAATTTTTTTGAGTGCGGTCATGTCCACCGCGAAGGCTTTGTTTGGCCAGCTGACCCGCACCTCCGCCCTCCCCGCCGACGACCCCCCGGCCGAGGATGAGGACCCAGGACCCTGGGCACCCTGGGCCCAGGGCAGGTGATCCCCCCTCCCGGGAGGAAGGAGGAGACTTCATTACGTCGAGGGTCAGGGTCAGAGCGAGAGACGCGACGCGGGTTACTACATAGCCAGAGACACGCGGGTGACCGGGGTGATGAGAGATGCCCCCACACTACTAAAAAAACAAATTCCCCTAAAATTACAACAAATTTTAACAGTGCAGGCAGGGGCGGAGCCGACGGGCAGCTCCTTATTTTTCGTACTCCTCGCCAGATCCAGGGTCCCTCACTTCCAAACAGGCAAGTCCGACAGCCGCGTCCCGCGTCGAGCTTTGGCCCGGCTGGCTCCGTATTCAACAGCAGAATGACGTAGAGTGAATGCACGACGAGGTCGCTCCAAATCCAAAGTGCACCCTGGCAGATTAGTCGCGTCAAAACGTCGCCAGCAGGTGCAAAGAGTGCATGATGTGTGTGTGTGTGAGCGAGTGTGTGTGTGTGTGTGTGTGTGTGTGTGTGTGTGTGTGTGTGTGTGTGTGTGAGCGCGCGTGTATGTGTGTTCGTGTGTGTCCAGCCCCCGGCGGGTGGTCCCCATAGCCTGCAATCACACAAGTCGCACAAAGTAATACGCCTTCATCATCCGTATTCCCCGGTGTCGCTGCTTCGCGTCCCACGCTGGCTGGCTGATCCCGCCCGTCCCGCCCGTCCCGCGTAGCGCGCGTAATGCCGAAAGAGATACAATGTGACAGATGCACAGGATTCATTCGTTTGAGTGCGACGCTACGCCCCCCTCCCCCGCCTTTTACCTGTCGCCGCGGCGCCGCCATGGCAACGCGACGCGCGCGCCGCGACGCTCCAGCAGCGCCGCCCCTGTCGCCCCGCCGCCCCGCGCCGAGGAGGGGCGTCGCCGGGCCGCCGCGCGTCGCGAGATCAAAGCGCCAAGCTGGCGAAGCGCGAAGCGAGGCGGGGCGGGGCGGGGCGGGGCGGGGCGGGGCGGGGCGGGGCGGGGTGGGGCGGGGCGCGCGCTGCCGTCGGCGCGGCTCGGCGCCGCTGCACCCGCCCCTAACACTGATGATACGCTCAGGTGATCAGCTCGCACGCCGGCAGGGCAGGCCGAGGCAGGCCCGGCCCGGGCAGGCCGGCAGCGAGGCAACAATTAATTTGGCCGAAAGGGAGGGTCGGTCGACGAGTTCGGCTTCTGGCTGGCTGCTGCAGGTGGATGGATGGATGCTGGGCGTTATAGCCGTGGCTGTACGACTGATTCCGAGAGTCGTTTTCGTCGCTCTGTCTCTCTCGCTCGTACTCAGGACGCCCCATGAGTGCGAGGGAGGCTGAACGATGAAAACGACTCTCGGAATCAGTCTGCTGGTCAGCGCGCACCTGGCGGGCGGCGAGCGGATGCACAGTGGGCCGGTGGAGACGGCCAAAACTCTACACGCGTTTTGAGCTGCTCCAGAGTCGCTTTAGCAGGACTCGAACCGAACGTGTGACCCCATCAAATGGATTCCTCGTTCAGAGAGCCATCCATTGGTGGGTTCACACGTTCGGTTCGAGTCCTGTTTAGCGACTCTGGAGCTCAAAACGCGTCTAGAGTTTTGGCCTGCGTCCACCCGGTCTTCTGGCCCACTGTGCGATGGAGGTCGTGCGGGTCATGCCGCTGGGGCCGCACGCATCACAAAAGGCGGCAAGACGTTTTGATTTTGAAACGCCTTTCGGCACAATTGCGGCAGCGGGCCGACGCCGCAACGCGCCGCAACGTCCAGCGCGCTCTTCGCCTGTCTAATCCTCAAGTTGGTACGGCTGACGAGAGATAATCTCCGCACAATAATGTAGATGGAGGGCCGCGTGTTTACTCTCTCTGCCGCGGAGCGAGAGAGACAGACAGGCTGAGTGAGTGAGAGAGAACCGCACAAATAAATGTGGTTTTTTTTGTTTTGTTTTTTTCATCGTCGCCGTTTTGCCTTTGCCGCATCGGCGTGCGCCGTGAGTTTTTCTCTCTCGCTCTTCTGGATCTGAATTCATCCTCGATTTTCCCGGCGCGGAGGCGTGCGTTCCAGGCTGCAGTTTAAAGAAATTGCAACTTTTTGCCGCGCAGCGACACTAAAATTCTTCGTTAGTTTGTACGTGCGTGTATAGCTTCTGTGTGCACAAAAACCTGCATAGTAATGAAGTGGGCCTAGTTTCGGTCCCCGTCGCGGTCCCATGGGTCGCATAGTGACGGGCTACGGCCTCCAAAACCACGGCCTCCAAGCCAAGGCGGCTCTGCCAGACCGCTCGGCACCGTCGGCGTGCTCGCCGGCCTCGTCACCGACTTGCGCGCTCTCGCCACCAGGGTCGTGTTCGTCGCTCTGTCTCTCTCGCACTCATGGGGCGTCCCGCGTAGGTGCGAGAGAGACAGAGCGACGACAGCGACTCTCGGAATCGGTCCGGGCCAGCCTGTTTGCCGCCAGCTCGAGCAGGCCATTCACGGTGTGCACTTAAGCTTGCTCTCATTATTGGCGTCGCTTACACAAGCTCTCTCTCTCTCTTCATCCCCCCCCCCTCTCTCTCTCTCTCTCTCTCTCTCTCTCTCTCTCTCTCTCTCTCTTTCTCCCTCTGTCCGCAGGGCGGGGCCACCTTCGACGCTGATCCATACAGCACCGCTTCTCTCTCTTCATTGCCCATCTTCATGTACTTCTGCACTCAATCGCTGTGAAACGCGCCGATCGAAAGCGTAATCGCCGCAGATGCAGTCATCCACCCCCCCCCCCCCCCCCCCCGCCCCGGAGATGGACAATGGGTGTCGGACACCTCCAAGGCGCTGCCGTGATGGAAGCTGGACTCAAGGTGTAGTAGGTGTGCAGCAGATGCTGGCTGCTGGCACTCGTGCCCGGTTTGCATGGCTTGCTAGGCAGGCACTAACAATGAAAGTTCGGAGTCTAGCTAGACTGAAGCGGATACTGGAAGTTGGAAAAGAAATTACTACCCTACTGCGTGCAAAACTCAATCTGGACGCGTTTCGAGCTCCAGAGTCACTATACAGAACTCGAACCGGGGTGACCCAAGGGATTCCTCGTTCAGAGACCAATCCATTGGTTCGGTTCGAGTCCCATTTAGCGACTCTGGAGCTCAAAATGCGTCTGGAGTCTTGACCGCCTCCTCCACCGCGGTCTTCTGGCAAATCCACTGTTCGCGGCGACTCCATGTGGAAGAGGCCACCCGTTGCCTTGGTGGTGCCGTTGGCAACAACTGCTTCGCAAAGCGACACAGAGCAAATTTCAGCTAGGATACCAGCAGAGCGGTGCGCTTGTCCGCAAATACATTTCACGGGCCGCTGCAGTACAGTGCGCAGTGTGTCGTCGATACGCCGGGCAGCAGACGTCGCTCTCTCTCTCTCTCTCTCTCTCTCTCTCTCTCTCTCTCTCTCTCTCTCGCACTCACGGGGCGCCCCGCACAGGTGCGAGAGAGACAGAGCGACGAAAAACGACGACTCTCGGCATCAGTCTGCCGAACGCTCTGGGTCTTTGCCCGAGTGCCTCTCTGTCGCTCTCGCGGGGCGCGCTCTGCCAGGAATGCGAGGGAGACAGAGAGGCCGCGCGACACGGTGGAGCGGTCCTGCACGTCACTCATGTTGCCATTACGGAGGTTGATCCTGCGGATTGCGATCCAGCATGAAGGGCAGCCGAAGGCGGTCGAACCGATCCGGGGGATCGCTTCATCGCTCTCTCTCTCTCTCTCTCTCTCTCTCTCTCTCTCTCTCTCTCTCTCTCTCTCTCTCTCTCTCTCTCTCTCTTTCGGAATGAGGCGCGGCCGGCCACCAAGGCAGCCAGCGGCTCGGCGAGTGACATGCGTCCGCGTCCCTCCGGTGCCCTCGGCAAATCTTGCGTTAAACCCGAGTTAAAGCGTGATTAGGGCCAGACCCCGTGGGCCCACACCGTAACTGCAGCCCGCCAACACGTTAACTGCCGCCTTTTTTCCCGCGCTCCGGGGGGCGCGCGCCGCTTGCCGCGCTCCGCCCCCACTACAAGCACGCACAGTCCAACTTTGAATCTGTCTTTTCACAAAGTTTCGCTTTACGCTGTTTGCAAACTCGTGGACGCACGGACCGCGCCCGGCCCAGAGCCACGCCGCGGGGGACTCTGCCTCCCTGTGTGTGTGTGTGTGTGTGTGTGTGTGTGTGTGTCACCGCGACTAACAGCGGCTATGCGGAGAATCACGCGCGTGATATACCCAGTGTTTATAGTTGTTACACACAGTTCCACGATGTTACGTGCATTTTTAACCAAGTTGGAATGAATGTTCCATGCGAGGTCGCACGCACACACTCTCACTCACACACACACACACACACACACACACACAGTCGAAAGGGATCTCGCCGAATTAAATTTTCCCGCGGCCTCGCCCGTTGTGCCCCCCTCTCCTCAAACCGACTATAGTGTATTTGGAAGCGCGGAGCTCGCGCCTCACGCAATATGGTAATGAGGAAACTTTATCTTGTACCGTCATTTCGGTAATCGGCTGTGTATGGTCTCTCTCTCTCTCTCTCTCTCTCTCTCTCTCTCTCTCTCTCTCTCTCTCTCTCTCTCTCACACACACACACACACACACACATTGCGAACGCTCGCTTAGTCAATCTGGCGGTCTGTAAATTACAGCAAGCCCAGCAAGGCGCCTGTTGACACTCCCCCTTCCCCTCGCCTTCCTCCCTCCCTCCCCTCGTCCTTCAAGACCCCCGCTACACGCATCACCGCGAGTGCGCCGCTAAGTCAACAGGAGTTCCCTCATAGGGCTCGTTCATTACGCGAAATATGGCGGTACGAAAGTATGACAAATTCACGGACTGAGACCAGCAGACGACGCCCGCAGACGCTCAAAACTAGCAATATTTAAAAACCCTGATGATTTTTTACCAGATCTATGTTGAGAGTTCGTTCCTCAACACACAAACAGTACTCCGTAACCTTAATTCTTCAATATTTCCTTCAAAGGTTCGAATAAAGGTGGTAAATCGTGGCCTGACCCTCCAGCCCCGTTTGAACTGCCGCGCCTCTTTTCTGTCAAGCCTAGTTTCAGAAAGTATCAACTAAGCTCTCTGAAGCACTTTGGGTGAAAGAGCAAAACTTTCTGTTTCTAGACAGCGTTTTGTTTTGCTCGAGAGGCAGATTATTTCCAAGATTCGATCAATTTCTTTGGCGTCGGCTGCTCCAGACTCAGTTCGCGAGAGAACGTTTTCGTGTCCTTTACCCGGCAGTGACATAACGGTACGCCAATGCACGAGCCCTATTGTCTAGGGTGGTCCGGGAGAGGAGTCCGGAGCGGAGGAGCGACGACGCGTAGGCCCACCGCAGCACCGGTAGTGCACACGGCACTGTGTCCCACTGTGTGTCCCACTGTGTGGCTACAATGGGATTACACGCGTTCGCTCCAGCGATCGCCCGATCGGAACGCCTCAAGACGGTTTGTCCCTCACGTCGCTATTTTCTAAAAAAAAAAAAATTAAAAAAATTGCTAGTGTGTTTTACAGCCCTTCTCCTTCTTCTTCTTTTTAAAAGTTAGCTTGTTCTTTATTTTTCATTGCAAAACTTAACTTCGTGCGTCTTCCCTCCCTTCCGATTTGTACTGAAGTAATGAAGTCGCGGGTGCAATTTCCTGCACGACGACATGCTGCCCCTGTTTTGTCTCGGTACGGCTTCCCCTCCCCCCTTCCCCCCTCCCCGATCCGTTTTAGGGCTTTCCTCATTAGCAGTGGAGGCGCAAAGCACGCAAAGCTCCGGCAGCGGCCGCGGCGGCCCAGTCAAAGGCTGGCTTTCAGAAAGCTTTTGTCCGGATGTGAGTGCGAGGACACGGGGATTACAGGGACAAACAAGGACGGCGACAAAGCTTTCAATTACAACATAAATTTTAATATTTACAAACATATCTCTCAACAAAAAGAAACAGCTATTGGTATTCGGAAGGCAATAATAATGACAATAATAATAATATTATTTTAATAGTTATTACGTATAGATTAAAACAATAACACTACGTATCACATGGAGTCACGGTTTTCGTAATCGAGAAAAACAAAATCATTCCAGAATGCAGAGCATCTTCTTGTTTTGTGCGGCAAACAAGTCTAGGTCTAAAGTTGCATATAAATAAACATTATCTTAAGTTGTCCGGAACACAGGAGAGCGAAAAAAAAAGAGAGGCAGCATCCTGAGTAAACTTCTCTCGGTTCGAATCCGGGCGGCAGCCTTTCGGCAGCGCGAGCATCTGAGCGTTATTCTTTTGATTCTTATCTCCTCGAGCTTATAGCCCGCTTCGGCTGCTAATCCCATTTTAAAGAACGAAAAAAGAAGAAAAAAAGGTCTCGCTGAGGGATGTAAAAGCGCGACGACAAAAAGTGCACAGGCAAAGACCTCCTCGTCGACCGCACTGCATTCCCGTCGTGAATCGAATCGAACTGGCCAATTTAAAAAGACGCTGGGGTGGGCTCCGCTGCTCCCAAGACGACGTACTTACAGTGGGCCAGAAGACCGGTGGGCGCGGCCAAAACTCTAGACGCGTCTTGAGCTCCAGAGTCGCGAAACAGGACTCGAATCGAACGAGTGACTCCACCAATGGATTCCTCGTTCGGAGAGCAATCCATTGGTGGGGTCAGAAGTTCGGTTCGAGTCCTTCTTAGCGATTCTGGGGCTCAAAACGCGCCCGGAATTCTGACCGCATGCCCGTCTTCTGGCCCACTGTGCGACGGACGGACGACGGGTACGCTCAAACACTCTTTAGGTGTCGCTGGCCGCTGGTAGCCACCGGTCGCTCCTTGAGCACGTCCGCGCTGGGCTGCGCTCGGCTTGCTCGCGCTGTGTGTACACTGGACACTTTCCCGCTGCCCTCTTTGGCTTATCACAACGAGTCTTTAGGTGGGCGGCCGTTGGCGGCCGTTGGCGGCCGTTGGCGGAGGCGCGCGTGCCCGAGACGTGCACGTCCGGGGCGTGTCGCTGGCCGCGCAAAACAATAACATGGGAGTGATACAACAACAACAAAACACAGCAAGTGATGCTCATGACTAGAGAGGTGAGGCCGGCGACGCTGGTGTCCGGGCACGGCCAGAACCAGGTGCGGATCCAGGGCGGAGGCGGGGGCGTCGCCCTGCCGCCTGAGAAGTGGCCACCTAGACGCACTTCGCCCCTGCAGGCAGGCAACTTCTGCGACATCCCCCTGCAGCCCGTCTCCGGATCCACCCTCAGCCCGGACGGGGCGATCCAACCCGACGTGGTAATACTGCCGACGGCATGGTGTCCGCGCGCGACGCCGCGGCGCCCTAGGTGACCTCCAGGTCCGAGAGGTCGTCGTTGTCGGCGCACATGGAGGCGTGCAGCGCGTGGAGGTCGTGCTGCAGCTGGTGCACCATGGGCGGCTGGTCCGCGTGCGGCGAGGCGCTCCGCGGCCCCGGCGCCGTCCCCGGCGCGCCGCCCGGCGGCCCCGCCAGCCCCGCCGAGGCGTCGTCCGCCATCTTGCGCATCCGCTCCTGCTCCTCGCGCCGCTGCTTCCGCCACTTGGCGCGCCGGTTCTTGAACCACACCTGCAAGGCAGAGAGAGGCACCCGATGAGTGGTCGTCGGACACGTCGAGCCGCGGCACAGTGGGCCAGAAGACCGGTGGGGGCGCCCGAAACTCTAGACGCGTTTTGAGCTCCAGAGTCGCTAAACGGGACTCGAACCGAACGTGCGACCCCACCAATGGATTCCTCGTTCGGAGTGCAATCCATTGGTGGGGTCACACGTTCGGTTTGACTCCAATTTAGCGACTCTGGAGCTCAAAACGCGTCTAGAGTTTTGACCGCCTCCGTCGGTCTTCTGGCCCACTGTGCGAGAGGACTAGGCTTTGCCGCGTTGCCGCCAGATTGGCAAAATAATAGAATAATAGAATGATGTGAGCGCGGCAGTGCTGGCGGCGCGCGTGGCGTGCCCCGGGCCGTGAGAGCCAGCCGCCCTGCCGCCCGGCTGCCGCCATGTTGATTGCATTCTGATGAAAACTTTGGGGCGCAGCGCTGCGCAGCCCAACGCGCGCTGTTTGCAGGTGTGACCAGAGAGACTGGCGCCACTCATGCATATTTCCCCAATTGTTATTTTACCATTATTATTTTGTCGCGACCGCGCACCGCACCGCTGGGCCCTGGGCCTTCCCCCTCCCTCCCCCTGGCCGCGCCGCCGCCCAAAGCGTTTACATGCATTTTAGCAAGGCCGTGGCACTGCACTGGCCCCTGCTCTGGCGTATGTGTCGCGAGCACCTGTCGCAGATACGTGACTTCAGCAGAGCCCCGCGTCCTTTTCGCCGTTCTGTCGCGTCCACAGTGGGCCAGAAGACCGGTGCAGGCGGCCAAAACTGTAGACGTGTTTTGAACTCCAGAGTCGCTACATGGGACTCGAACCAATCGTGTGACCCCACCAATGGATTGCTCTCCGAACGAGGAATCCATTGGTGGGGTCACACGCTCGGTTCGAGGCCCATTTGGCGACTCTGGAGCTCAAAACGCGTGTAGAGTTTTGGCCGCCTCCACCGGTCTTCTGGCCCACTGTGCGACTCGTGCAGCCGCGTCGACGCACAACGAGTCGATTATTTATAGAACAGGCGCAATGGGGAAAAGCAGAAAGCACGTGAAAGCCACGCCCGGATCACACACGTCACACGCGGCCGGTGCGCCCCGCGGCGCGACCGCAGTCAATGAAACGAACGCGGCGGGGGGAAAATTGGAGTTAAAAATGGCGGTGGTTTTCAAAAGCAAAACAATTGAAGGGGGAAACGGCGGCGGTGCTCGGCGCGGCAGTGTGCCGGAAATCCCGCGGGCGGAAGACTTAGACGCGGGGCGGGGCGCCTCTAGGCGGCCCTGGCGGGGCGTCGCGGCGGGGCGTCGCGGCGGGGCGTCGCGGCGGGGCGTCGCGGCGGGGCGTCGCGGCGGGCGGGCGTCGCGGCGGGGCGTCGCGGCGGGGCGTCGCGGCGGGGCGTCGCGGCGGGGCGTCGCGGCGGGGCGTCGCGGCGGGCGCGGCGGCGGGGCGTCGCGGCGGGGCGTCGCGGCGGGGCGTCGCGGCGGGGCGTGCGGCGGGCGTCGCGGCGGGGCGTCGCGGCGGGGCGTCGCGGCGGGGCGTCGCGGCGGGGCGTCGCGGGCGGGGCGTCGCGGCGGGGCGTCGCGGCGGGGCGTCGCGGCGGGGCGTCGCGGCGGGGCGTCGGCCGGCGGGGCGTCGCGGCGGGGCGTCGCGGCGGCGGGGCGTCGCGGCGGGGCGTCGCGGCGGGGCGTCGCGGCGGGGCGTCGCGGCGGGGCGTCGCGGCGGGGCGTCGCGGCGGGGCGTCCGCGGCGGGGCGTCGCGGCGGGGCGTCGCGGCGGGGCGTCGCGGCGGGGCGTCGCGGCGGGGCGTCGCGGCGGGGCGTCGCGGCGGGGCGTCGCGGGCGGGGTCGCGGGGGCGTCGCGGCGGGGCGTCGCGGCGGGGCGTCGCGGCGGGGCGTCGCGGCCGGCGGGCGTCGCGACGGGGCGTCGCGGGGGGGGTGGGCGGGGGTCGCGGCCTCGCAGCGGGGCCGCGCCGGGCGCGCGCGGCCGGGGCGCGCGACGGCGATCCGGGAGGGAGAGTTGCCTCTCTGCACCACCGCGTCGCGCTGCCCAACAACCTCCAGCGGCTCGCTAATTGGAAAGGTGAAAAGGCCTGCGGCGTCGCCGTTTCGGAAAGGTGGGAGGCCCCAAGGGGCCCCGCCCCGCCCCGCCGCGCCGCGCCCCGCCCCGCCCCGCCCCGCGCATATTCTAAATCGAATCCCGCGGGAATTGAGTGGCCCCTGGCTGTATTAGCCGGCGTCGCTGCAGCGCCAGGTCTTCCAGGGGGGAAACCTCAACAAATTTAAAGGAATAAATAGGCTGGCGTCCCGTCAGCCAGGCAGCCAGGCAGCCAGCCAGCCAGCCAGCCAGGCAGCCAGGCAGCCAGCCAGCCAGGCAGCCAGCCAGCCAGCCAGCGAGGCAGCCAGCCAGCCAGCCAGCCAGGCAGCCAGGCAGCCAGCCAGCCAGCCAGGCAGCCAGGCAGCCAGCCAGCCAGCCAGCCAGGCCGCCGGCAAGCGTGCATGCCTGCTTGTCCTCGTCTGCGCGCGGAATGGGACTCGAGGCCAAGACCGGCGCGGAGGCGGCCAAAACCCTAGACGCGTTTTGAGCTCCAGAGTCGCTAAAGAGGACTCGAACCGAGCGTGCGACCCGTTTGTTTTGAGTGCCATTTAGCGACTCTGGAGCTCAAAATTCGTCCGGGGTTCTGACCGCCTCCGCCGGTCTTCTGGCCCACTGGGCGTCGTCGGGCGCTGATCGCAGTGGTGGCGGTTCGATCCCCGGCCCCGGCCGCACCGTTTCCCGCAGTTTCCGCGCGATTTGGGCCACGGCACCACTCACGCTTCAACGCGCCGCGGACCCGTAAGCCCTCGCAGGTACTTAATAATTCCGGCCTGGGGCGGGGCGGGGCGGGGCGGGGCGGGGCGGGGCGAGGCGCGGCGGGGTGGGCACCCCCGGGCGCCGTGAGAGGCACGCCGCGCGCCCCGCCCCGCCCCAGCCGCTCGCCAATGCCTGCGATCCGTTGGCCATTGTGAAGGCGGGCATGGCGTAGCGCAGCGCCCCGATCGATCAAACACGTACACTCCCTGCACGCCGCATTCACGCACACACCTACACGCGCTACACGCGTGCGCGCACCCACCAGTCAACTTCCTCTCATTCATCGGAATTTCAAATCAGCTTTTTGTCCGCCGCTTTTGGTCCGTCCGTACCCCTTTTCGCGGCCTTCCCGCTGCGCTCGGTTCGATGGGGGAAAATTCCGGGCGATGCTGGATTCGTGGTCGTGATCCCCAAACCGGCCAAACTAACGAAGCACGAAGCGTATTAGCAGGGTTTGGGGTTTCCTCGCTCCGCGCCAAGGCGCCGCGCTGGGCGGGCGTTTCCACGTCCCAGGGACCGGCCGGGTTTTTTCAATGAGCCGCGATTTTCGGGGCACCTGGCTAAACCAGCAGGGATCTCACTCGCCCACACACACACACACACACACACACACACGCGGGCCCACTCGCAAACGGAGCGACTGGACCACGTCTGCCCCCACCTATTTGCTAATTAATCACATTGTACCGGCCTGGCCGTCGGCGTGGTGGTGGCGGCGGTGGCGGCGGGGCTTTTAATCAGGCTAATCTCGCTACGGATCACCGCGGCCGCGCCGTCATCCGTGTGGCCACCGCCCCGGGGTGTCGTCGCGACCCCCGCCACCGCGACCTCGCCGTCGACCGCCAGCAGACCGATTCCGAGGGTCCGTTTTCGTCGCTGCGTCTCTCTCGCACTCATGGGGCGTCCCGCACAGGTGCGAGAGAGACGCAGCGACGAAAACGACTCTCGGAATCGGTCTGCAGGCGGCCAGGCCATCAACAATTCGCAGTGCGGGTGCACGATGTGTGTTCGCAGGCTTCGGCTGCTAGCATCCCCCCGGCGGACCGCGCAGCGCGGCGCAGCGCGGCGCAGTGGGCCCGGCGGCGTGGCCGCGGCAGACAGTCCGGACCGGCGTCGCACAGTGGGCCAGAAGACCGGTGGAGGCGGCCAAAACTCTAGACGCGTTTTGAGCTCCAGAGTAGCTAAGCAGGTCTCGAACCGAACGTGTGACCCCACCAATGGACTCCTCGTCCGAAGAGCAATCCATTGGTGGGGTCACGCGTTCGGTTCGAGGCCCATTTAGCGACTCTGGAGCTCAAAACGCGTATGGAGTTTTGGCCGCCTCCACCGGTCTTCTGGTCCACTGTGCGTCGTCGCGCTCCCTCTGGCTCCCTTCCGCTGTGCGGAGCGGTGCGGAGCACTGTATGCACGCCCGGGGCGGCTCGGCGGCTCCTATCCAAAATTAACGCGCGTCCTACAAAATCGCTGGAAAGAATAACAAAATCGGGGTAATTCTTTAATTAACGAGAAATAAACGCTGGCGGGAAAGGGTGGCGGGGCCGCCCGGCGGCGGCGCGGCACGGCACGGCGCGGCACGGCACGGCGCGGCACGGCACGGCGCGGCACGGCGCGGCACGGCGCGGCACGGCGCGGCACGGCGTGCTATGGCTACTCTTTGGCCGCCGCTGGCTACGCTGGCCACGCTGGCTACTCCGCATTGGCTTCCCCTTTAGCCAGCGAGGCTCCGGGGGGAATAACAACTTTTCGTACACAAAACACGCGCGCACGCCGTTTTCTTTTCATTTTCATTCGGCCCCGTTCAGTCCAGTTTTTCCGCGAGCTTTTCCTTTGTTCGGCAGCTTTGGCGCGCGCGGCGACGGCGCGGCTTAGCCTTCCCGGCTTTCCCGGCTCCGCGGAGTGATTAAAGAACAAGACGAGAGGGCTTAAAACATTAGCAGTGGCGAGCGCGGCGAGGCGAGGCGAGGCGGGGCGGGGCGGGGCGGGGTGGGGTGGGGCGGGGGTGGAGCGCAAGGAGGTGCTAATCCAGCTCGCGGACTCGGCGCCGCGGGGTCAGTGCGCACTGTGCGCAGCCACGGCGCACTTGGCATTTCAATCCAGATATGTCTATCTCGCCTCACCTGCTCTCTC